CCGGCACCCGGGGCCCACACCTCCGTGGCTGAGTGCCCTCTGGGGGGGGGGCAGCCAGCTGAGCAGGGGCTTTGTTGGCTCCCATCCTTCGCTCAGCACTGAGCACCAACTAGGACAGATGCAAGGCTTCTCAAGACATAGCTGCTGGGAGTGCCGGCGGCCATCAGAACGATGACACTGCTGATGTCACAAGGGACCCCGGCTGGGACCACACAGCGCCAGCGCAGGGCCTGCCCCAGGTCCAGGCACTCTTGTTGGGAGGAGGGGGGAGGGGAAGGGCAGGAGGGTGACTGTAGGTGGAGGGACCCCACCCTCCGCAGGTGCATCCGGTCACTCGGTCGTTCCCAACATTTACCCACAAACCCACTCGAGGCGAGAGCTGCTCCTTATGTTCCCGGTTCAGGGTGTCAGCCACATGCACTGCCAACGTCTCTGCGGTGACCTGCTGGCTCGGTCCCTCAGCAGTGGCTTTCGGTGAACGGACACCCTCACCCCTGCAGCGTCCGACTCAGTGTCGTCCTATAGGACCCTGCCTCGTGTGTCCCGGAGGAAGGCTCTCCGCCCGCCCGAAGGCATGAGATGCTGCTCTGAGCCTTCCTCTGAAAGGCCTGGGGTTCTGCCGCCCCCAGGGGTCCCCCCAAGACCAGCTGTGACCGATGGCACCACACCAAGTTCCGTGGGGACAAGTGATGCCAGCCGCCCAGAGCCCCTGTCCTGGCAGGTCGGTGTGTGGGAACAAGGGACCCCGGGCAGCATCTGGACTTGAACCTCGGAGGTGGTGGGTGCTCACCCTGTGACACTGGCCTGGCTCCGCCCCCAGCCACCACGACACGAGCTCTGGGGCCTGTGCCAGCCCTTGCCCTCTGAGCCTCGGTTGTTCTTCTCTGAAATGGGGCAGATCCGCCGCTAAGAGGAAACCCTTGGCGTCCTGCCCAGGACACACTGGTGGCCAGCACACCCTTCCCCAGCTGCCAACCGACTCCACAGAGAAAATCCGGCCCTGGTCTTGCTGCCTGGTGGGGGTGGGGCTGGGGTGCTCAGGCCCCAACCAGGGCCCAGCGAGGCAGGGAGGGCCAGCCTGGCGGCACACGCCCACTCCACACCTTCGGTAAACCACGTGGCCGGGACGCCCATCTCAGGCTCTGCCCCGGGGGGACCTAGGCCACCTGCCTTGCACAGGCTGGGGGCGGAAATAACCAACACATGCCAGGCGTTCAGTCCAGGGCTGCCCAGCGGTCAGCAGCCTCGGCCCTCAGCTGCCCCCTCTGCAGAAACGCCTGGGGCATCAGGCAGGAGAGGCACGGGCTCCAAGGCAGTGCCCCCACCTTCCCCAGCTCCCCGGTGAGGTGCTCCTCAGCGCTGGCGGGGGCGGGGGGACCTAGGTGCTAAGGGCTGGGACTAGATTTATCTCGTGTTTTTTTAAAATTTAAAAAAGATTTTATTTATCTTTAGAGGGGGTGGGAAGGAGAGAGGGAGAGAAGTATGGTTGCCTCTCGTGTGCCCCCTGCTGGGAACTGGCCTGCAACCCAGGCATATGCCCTGACTGGGAATCGAACTGGCGACCCTGTGATTCAGAGGTCGGTGCCCAATCCACTGAGCCACACCAGCCAGGGCAGATTTACTTCAAGTTTTGATGACAAGCACTCAGATAGATCTGTGTGGTTTTCCAGTTTCCATGGAAACCCCTACTGCTCCGTCACTTGCTCAGGGGTGCTTGGCCAGGCCCCTCAAGCAGCCAGGTCCCAAAGAAGACTGTCCCTTGGCCCAAGGACTCATGAAAGTCACTGGCCTGGAAGGGGGCTGTTGTCCCACTTTGCAGGTCAGCAAACTGAGGCTCAGGAGGGGAAGGCACCAGCCCAGTCCAGACAGAGCTGAGTGTGAGGACCTTCCAGCAAAGGGGCTGCGCTGTGGGTGTGTCAGAGTCGCTCTCCTCATCACGGGACCCCAGCCACGACCCACAGCCGCAAGGCCCGGCGACAGGCCTCCCCTCCCCCCAGTCCCACGAGGCTTCCTGCGTGTCCACTGACCACAGGTCACTCTGACTGGCCTTCAGGTCCATTAGAGGCCTCACTCTTCGTTCAGAGCCCCTTGGGCGGGGCCTCCCCTGCCCCACAGTAAACCCGCAGCCAGACAGGGCCCCAGGCCCCAGGCCGACACACAGCTGGGATGTCACCTCCCTGCCTCTCAGAGCCTCAGGGGCTGCTCGGTCCCACAGACACAGCAGATCCCAAGCTACAGAGACCAGGGTTCGAGTCCACACCCCCAGCCCCCAAAGGGCACTGGGGTGGGGGCATTTCTAGAGTATCCCTGTGGAGTTGGGGGGTGGAGCCTGCAAGCTGTGGACACTTGGCTCAGGACTCCGTCCCGGATCTCCGAGCCCCGCCTCCAGGGTGCACGAGGAGTGGGCGGGCCCCATGTACCCTGAGGATGAAGCTGCGCTTGGACCTGAGTCCCAGAAGCCACCTCTGGCTGAAGGCAGAGGGTGAGGCGACTGGGAGCACAGAGCCCACAGCCCCGTTCGGGAAGCTCCCATCCTCCCAGAACCAGGCTGCCCCACCCCCCTTGGTGTCCCCTGTTCTCTGGACAGTGCTGCACGCAGAGCCAACCCTGCCTGGTGACCCGGGGACTGGGACCAGTCCAGCCCGCGTGGAGATGTGCCCTTCAGCGTGCAGACTCCCACTGTGAGCTCTGCGGCCCAGGTCAGCGGTTCCCGGCTCACCAGCAGGCGCCGCTGCTGGGGCGTGTGCGCGGGCGGTGGGTGGGGAGACCAGTGCCGGCCCGCAGGCAGGCGGTGCTGTGGGAAGGCAGGCTCCACACGGGCGCCCGGGAGGCGGGGCTCAGTGCGGGAGGGTGGGGGGGGTGGGGCAGGGGAGAAGCAGGTGTGGTCGCAGGCCTTCCGCAAGCCGTGTGCCAGGTGGGCTCCGAGAGCGCAGCCCCTCCGGCTAGTCGGACAGTCGACGACCAGTCCCCCAGCCGCAGCAGCGGACCCTCCCTCGGAGCAGGAGGGAGCTGAGCTGTGGTTTTGCTTCTGCCAAGAACCGGCTCCATGGCTTGGGACCCCAGCAGGCGGCGGCACTGGGAGGCGGCCATGGAGGAAGTGCACACACAGCCCCCGGCAGGGGAGACCCCAGGCTGACAGAGGGGCCCCGTTATTGGGCAGAACCCAGGACCGGGGTGAAGTCGGGTGAAGCTGGCGCCACGTGCCAGAGGGGTGTGGCCCGCTGCCCTGGCTGAGACTCCGCTGGCTCTGCAGGGCGGCTCTCGGGTGGGGCTCCAGCAGCGTGGGCCTGATGACCCGGACTGCAGACTTCTGTGGGACCGGGAAGCCTGCCGGTGTTGTCTTCTGGGGCCCTTCTAGGGAAATTCCTTTTACTTCCTCCCCTGACCCCAGGTTAACAGTTCTGCAGCCTGGGTCCTCTCTGCAGTGCCCAGCAGGGGGCAGCCCTGTGGCCCCCTGTCTCCAAGGCCCCTCGGGGCTCCTTCCTTGTGAAGCAGGCGACCTCTCAGGGAGTGCACCCCTGAGCCACACGGCCCTGGTTCCAGCTCCGGGGCCGCCCTTCACTGTGCAGCCTGGGGCATGGGCTTCCGCCTCTGCCCCCTGCAGACCCCGCACCCCTGGAGTGACAGGACCCCCTCATCCGGGGCGGAGGATGGGAGGCAGCACAGCCCACAGCCGAGCTTCCAGCTCCCCACACCCCTGCCTGCCCCCTTCCGGCCCCCAGGGGTCTGCATCCAGGTCTCGGGGAGAAAGAAAGGCGGCAGAAGCGCCCACCAACCCTCCACCTGCAGCCAGCCAGCCCTTGGCACACACTCACAGGACGGGGGAGGGCACAGGCCACTCCCAGCAGCACTCCCCACTCTGGCCAGTGGGCACGTGGCCCTGGCACGGCCTCCCCACCTGGGGTCTTCACACACACCCTGGCTCCTGTCCGGGTTCCCCATGAGTGAGTGCTGCTTTGGCCTGGCCCCAGGCCATCCTGATGGCTGAGCCAAGGTGCGTGGGCAACAGGCTTCCCAGAGAGCTGGGTTTGCGTGGGCTTGGGGAGGAGCAAAGAGCTAAAGGGTTTCCCGGAGAGAAAGTGGTCTCCGAAGAGGCTTGGGCTGTGCTCAGTCAGTGGCACCCGTGCCCGCCTCCCACGGAGCCGGTGAAGCCCAGCCTGCTGGCTCCACCCCGGGGGTGCCGACTGGTCGTCTCGGGCGGCCCAGCCTTCTGCATTTCTGACCAGCTCCCAGGTGAGGCTGACATTCTGGGCAGCAGAGGACTGGAGCACTCCGGCCAATGTGTTAGCCACCAGCCACACGTAGCTGTTTAAATTACAACAGTTAAAAAAAAAAAGGTCAGATCTGCAGTGGCAACAGCCCCATTTCGAGTGGCTAGTGGCCAGCTTGGACCTGGGACGATGGCAGCCGAGGATTTCCGGAGTTCATGTACAGGTTCAGGGGGCACCCCCATCTGACGCCTGATGTGCACAGGGCGGGTGGAGCCCAAGGGCCCAGGACCAGGGCCAGAGTACAGCTGAGTGGGGCGGCCAGGGAGACGGAGTTTGGAGCTCGTGTCCTGGCATAGCAGGGGCTGGGTAGAACCCGTCTCCCATGAGGGCCCACACCAGGGCTGCAGGGACATGGGACGGGGACTCAGAACAGGAGAGAACAGACAGACCTGCCTCCTCAGGGCCCCAAGCCCCACCTCCGGCACACCGGAGCAAGTCACCGACAATCACTGGCGAGTAGAAGTGACACATGGCCCTCCCCACAGGGACCCAGAGGACTTATGTCTCCTGACAACTCGCCCAACTCCCAGCACCCACCGCCACCGGTAGGCAGCACCCACACAGCCCACGGACACGCACGGCTCGCCAGACATGGCCCGGAAGCAGTCGGGAGAACCAGGCCCCGGGACGGCCCAAATGCTGGGTGTGGCAGAAAAGGACATCAAACCTGTCAGTGACAACTGGCAGAGAGAAAACTCCACAGAAGTTACCTGTAAAAATAGTATTAAAAACCCACCGGAAACCCTAGAAACACAAATTAGATGCAGTGGAAGGAGGACTGGTGACCTCACGGGAAGGTCAAGCCAGGAAGCCCCCAAACTAGGTCCACAGCTCGGAGGAATGAAGCGCGCAGTGACGACCGGCAGGGCGGGGTCGAGCGGCCCAACACTCATGCAACTGGGGTTTTAGGAGAGAACATGGAGCAGAAAGTGTTTGTAGAATCCTGGCTATTTTTCCAAATGGGATCAAAAATAGTAACCCAGGGATTTCCAAGGTTCCGCAAACCCCAAGCAAGAGAAGTGATCAGAAAGTCACAGCAGTTCACGCGTGTCGGACGCCGCAGACGCTGGGGTGAACACAACCTGTCGGCCAGCCAGAGCGCGAGTGGGCACGAGGAGAACCACGCCCCCTTCCCCTCAGAGCCCCCGAGGCAGGGCACTGGGAACTCCAGAAACAAAAGCGCTGCTGGGCTTGACTCCTGTGCAGCCGCTGCCAGGGACTCGGGATCCCCCCAGGGGCCGCTCAGGGCCCAGAGCTGTGCCTGGGAGCCCCAGGCGGAGGAGGGTCGGCCCCGTCCAGCTGGGTCACCCACCACCCGCAAGGTGCGCTGCTGCGAGGGGCAGAGGCCTGGGGCAGGTGGACTCTCCTCACTCAAGGGCAAACTGCAAACACCCACACCACACAGGTCGCCAGGATACGTTCCCCAGAACATCAGGGGCACTACTACGGTGCTTACTGATGGGACTCGTGTGTAAAGCTGTAAAAATAATTTTAAGTAAAAACACATCAGGACGTTTTCCCCTGGAATCCAAAATCCAGGAGCAGGGCTCGTGGGGGGTTGGGGCGTGAGAGACGGCAGGAGAGGCTCGGCCGCTCCTTCTGGCTGGGGAACTCGTAGCCCCCAGGAACGTACTCTGTCCCTGGGGGGTGCTGAAGGGGGGCAGGAGCCGATGGCTGGAGCATAGGTAGCAGCAGAGCTGAGAGCTCAGGAGCCGGGACAGGTGTTCCTTCGGGACTCCCCCAGCTCACAGAACCTGCTGCTGCTGCTTCTTGGTGGTGGAAGGGGGTGGCCGCAGCTCCCCGGGCCCGTGGGCGAAAGGGCAGCAGGCCGGGGGCAGAGCACAGCCGTCGGGGTGGTGCTCGAAGAACCAGCACAGGCGGGTTTTGAAAGCCTCGGAGAGCAGTCTGCGCTTGGCTTCTGGCCGCTGCGTCTCCTCCCTCCAGTCCCGGAGGCGGACTGTGCCGTTCACAACTGCAGTTCAGAACAGAGCAAGACAGCGGAAAGTTAGCCTGCTCGGCCTGGATTCATCAGCATCCGGGCAGGCGCGAGCCCAGTGTGAGGGGCCGAGCTGGCAAGTAACAGGGGAGGAGAAGGTGAAGGCCCAGTGCCAAGGGCGCAGGAGACTCGGTGTGAGAGCCACCTACATGGCCCTGATTGGAGCAGACAGCCCCACCCGCAAAGGGGTCCTGGCCCTTTGGCCACATCTCATCAGACAGAGGAAACAAGCAAGGCAGGCAGACAAGGGCCTGGCTTCAGGGGCTGCATGGCCACAGCCCCCACAGGTAAACGAGAGTGAGGGTTACGGCCCTGCCAACAGGGGCGAGGGCAGCGGTGGGAGGGACCTGGGTGGCCTGGCCTGGGTGACCTCAGAGCTGGGCAGCTGTGGCCCTGGCAGCAGGCCAGGGCCCCTCAGAGCTGCTCCTGAGCTGTCACCCTGCTCAGCTGAGACGCCCCGTGCACTTGGCCGCTTCCCCGAGAGCCAACACCACTGTGCGAAAGGAGAGCAAAGAAGCCGCACGCCCCGCTTTTCCCTGGAAGCTGTAAAAGCGCCTGGAGCCCAGGCAGCACGGGAGAAATATAGGGGCTTGTTGGATGAACCCGGCTCCCTGATCAGAGCACTGGCATGGGAACCAGGGTGGACTGTGCTCAGACGGTCCCTGCTGGCTGACGTTCGTGAAACGCTGTCCCCTGGGACCAAAGGAAGGAACCGCAGAGGCGTGCTGTGCAGGGGCCACAGAGAGATTTGGCAGGCGGATGCCCACCAGGCAATAGGGCTCCCCCCCCCCCCCGCCCCCGCACCAAGCCTGCTGCTGCGCTGCTCTTCCCGGGCAGCCTCCCTCCCCTGCAAGCCCAGGTTGCTGCGGACCCTCCGGCCGCAGCACAGGGTGGCAATGCCTGTGGGAGGCCCAGACCCCCTCAACGGTGTGTGGAAGGCAAGACTCCCACCAACTCCTGGGTGTGCACCTTAAAAAGGCAAGGAGCCCCTAACAGCCTGGACAGGCACACAAGAAATATGGGCAGGCCCCAGGGGCCGAAGCTGGGCGTGCACCCCACCCTCCAGAGCGATCAGGCCGCCACAGGTGCTAGGACGGTGCCCAGCCAACCCTGCAGCAGCACCTGCACCGTCTGGGGGGGGCCCAGCCGGGACCTCTGGGGCCTGAAAAGAGACAGAGCGGGGGCCCCAAGGCTGGCCGGGACGCCGGTTGGCCACGCACTAAGGACAGGCTCTTGCTCTGCCTCCCGCCCCCTTCCTGGCACGCCCGAGCCGGCTCGAGAGTCAGGCTGCACGCTGCCCACGTGTGCAGACCTGGCCCTGACCTACAGCTGCAGGAACGGCAAGCCAAGCCCGCTGCCGAGTTCTCCCCCACCGGATGGTGCTGGGCATGGGGCGCTCGTGGAGCCTGCCGTGCCGTTTCCTACGGCTTCTGACCAGACATCACGTTCGCCAGAGTGCTGAGAGCTGGCTGAAGACCCTTCTGGAAAAGCCCTGCGCACCACCACCGCCCAGGGTGGGGTAGCTGCTGCCCTCCCACTGCTGCAGGCCTCTGGGTCACAGCCTGGTAGTGCCTGGCGCCTGAGGTGCCCTTCCTTGCCCGGTCGGGGTGCCAGGGGCCCAGCCCGGTGCTTCAGAAGCAGCCCCAGCTCAGTGCATAGCTCCTGCCTGACCAAGCAGGCTGTTTACCTGGGGCTGTGCCCTCCAGCCCCCTAAAAGTGTTCCCAAAAATGAACGTGCCCCTACCCTACGCCCTGCCGTGTAAACTGCACAGAGAAGCAGTCTGATGCATGTTTACGATGGAAAAAAAGATACTAGTTTTCACAGCCAAACAGGAAAAAGCAGCAGGAAAAACTCGCTGCCCCCCGCCCCCGCTGGCAGCGAGTCCCCGAGGATGCAGGCTCGTGGCAGAGCAGCTCCCAGGCCTCCGTGCCATGTGGCCGGGACCCATGGCTCGGCAGCACCACCCTCCTCCCAGCTTCTCCTGGCTAGGGGGGCCGCCCCCCCCCCTGCAAGTACCCGAAGGTGGAGACTGAGGCTGCCGCCACAGTAACAGCGGTGTTTATCACGCTGATGTCAAGATGAAATAAAAACTAACGTTTAGCTCCACAGGACAACCAAGCCACCAAAGGCACTGCCAGCTTGCACACCCTGCTCTCGAGTGCACGCTGGGGTCGGGGGAGTGCTGGAGTGCACACCCTGCTCTCGCACACACACAGGACTCAACTCCCTGGGGAAGTGTTCAGACTGACAGGCGGACAAACACGCCTCCACCAGCCTGCCCAGGAGGAGGGGGAAGGTCGGGCTGAGGGTGGGGAGCAGTCTGAGTCCAGGGGCTCGGGCAGCTGCCCCCACACCCGACCAGACCTTCCGCCCAGCGTGGGCACGCGCTGCCCTGGGGCTGCCCTGGCAGAAGGCAGCACCCTCAGGGCAAACTCCAACTGGAGTCTTTCCAGCTGGGCTCCTCCCCACCGCACCCCCCAAAAAAGAGCCCAGCTGAGGCGCCCGTCCTGCTGTGTAGGACCCACTACAGGATGTGTAGTGTCCTTGGCCGTGTCCAGAGACCCGCACCTTGGCGTGTGGCCGCCAGCACAGCACACACGGTGAGAGCCCTGTCCACAGACAGCGCCTCCCTCTGGGGCTCACTAGTGTCCTTCCTGCCTGCACCCCGGCTCCCTCCACCTGGGACGCCCAGTCTGGCGGGTGGGACTGACAAGTTCAGGAGGACTCGGTGCAATAGCACCTGGGAGACAGGGCTGGGCGATGGACAGCTGCACAGGACGGGTGGTATCCTGAAGGAGACACAGTGGGGCTGCTGTGGGCGGGGCTGCTGTGGGCGGGGCCAGGACTCGGAGAGGGTGGGGAGCAGGTGCCTTGGCGAGGCAACAGGGATGGGGAGGGGACACTGGGCAGGCCACCTGCCACGCTCAGGGAGCTGAGGGGAAGATGGGCAGGCAGGCGAGGCAGGGCAGGCCCCCACCTGCTGGAGGAACGGGGTGTTTCCAGGGTGCGCCCACTCACCTTCGAACACCTGGTGGCGGTTCCTGAGCAGTGTCTGCAGGCCGCCGCACTCCCGCTTCAGTCTGTGCAGAGTGGCCCCGTCCAGCTTGCGGGCCACTTCTGCCAAGGGAAGGCTGGCTGTTGAAACCGGGTTTCCCGAGCAAGGACAAAGAGGTGGTCACAAACCGGTCCCACAGATAGGACACCCTCCCAGTTCTGTGAGCTCAGGTCCCTCCCATACTTCGCAGGGAGGGGCCACAGACCCTGAAACGCAGCAAGCTTCAGTCCACGCTGCACAGCCGGGGGGTGTGCAGGCCCACCCCAGTGGCCAGGAGCTGGCTGCCGACCAGGCCCACTTGGCCTTGCCCAGGCTGGCCCCCACGCTGCAGCTGAGCAGGGCGACCACCCCTCACACACAAAGGGCCGGCAGCTGCCCTTTCAACCTGGCCAACCTCAGGGCCTACCGCTCAGCTGCCCCAAAGCTGGTCTTCGAGGAAGCAGACGTCTAAGGACAGAACGGAGCCCTGCCCCCACTGCCACCTCAGCTACACGCCCTCTCACTTCTGCCTTTACCCAGCTGTCAGCTCGGGGACACAGCCCCCACTCTGTGTGCCCCTCAGCCGTGCCGTGCCGAGGAGAGACCCCAGGCCTAGGGACAGACCCACTCTCACATCTCACAACCACAGAGGGCCCCATGCCTAGAGCCAGTAGGGAAGGTGGTCCCTCATGCCCATATCCAAACAGGGGACGGCCACCTGTGGGTGGGAACCAGAGGCCCAGAGGCCCAGGACGCACCTGTGCCTCTCCAGGGCATGCTCTCCCCACCTTGGGGCAGCTAGAGGCCTCAGACCAGCCCCGGACCGGGGGAGACAGCACCCCAGCTCCCAGATGTCAGCAGTGGGTGGGGGACAAGAAATGACACCGAGCCCCAGAACCCTCTACCCCCAAACCTGCGGAGGAGCCCACCTTTGCTCGCGAGGACGGCTGACATCCCCAGGGGTCTGGCCATAGAGAGAGCAGCCTGGGGACGGAAGGCCAAACCCTGTGCTCAGAGGCACTGGGAGGTCTGGGCTCCAGGCCCACCCAGTCTGCCTTCCTAACTCTGGCCCCGCCTCGGTGGGGTCCACCCAGAACACCCGGAGGCACCTTGGGCTGCCTGCAGTTATAGGGGGCCAGGGCCGTGCTGGCCTGGGCCACTGTAAGGTTCCCGGAGGGTCCCCTGACCAGACTGGGAGGCTCAGGTGATTCCTGGAGAAGGGGACACACTCAATGGTGCTGCCACATCACAAGGCCACAAGATGAGAGAGACGTAGACCAATTCCAGAACAGCCATGGCAGAGGAAGACCAGGCTTGGGGCAGAGAAGGGCCCATCGCTCCCTCCTCACTAGCCCGTCCCACCCACGGGTCCAGCCAGGCACAGTCCTGATCAGGGGAGGGAGGGAGGGAGGGAGGGAGGGAGGGGAGGGGTCCTGGATTTTGGCCAGTGACCCCAAACCTCAAAAGGAGAGGGAAGGGAACTTAAGGGGAAAAAGGGGGAGGGAGTTTGAGGAACAAGTATGAATGACACAGAGATGAGGACTGGGGGGGGGGGAACGGGAGGGAGGGGGGAGACCGGGCGGGGGGGGGAGAGGAAAAAAAAATGTACTTGAAAAGTAACCAAATAAAAAAAATAAATAAATAAAATTTGTAGATTGTCACAAAAAAAAAAAGCAGGGCTCAGGCTGGACCAGGATCAACGGTCCCACAGCACCACCTGGTGGCCAGCTGAGGTCCTCGTGAGCAGAGGATCAGCAGGAGGAAATGGGTCCTTTCCTCCTGCTGATCCTTAGGGGGCTGGGACCCAGAACCTCCCTCCGGGAATCGCAGCGGGAAGCATCCTTAGACTCTGCTCTGGGATGCCGCACTTCACCACAGCACCCCCGCTCCCACCATGAGAACAGCAGGGCACTGTCCCCTCTTCTCACATCTCACTGGCATGTGGGGGCCTTCGAGTCATGAAATCTCACCACAGACGGCAGGGGACAGGGCGTCCCTCCCACACCGGGCACCTGCGTTCCGCTTGGGTGAGTTCACAGACTGAACACGAGTTGCTGCAGACCAGAGAGCCCCCTCACCTGTTCCATTTCGGTTCTTGGCGGCCCCACCTCCCCAGGGAGGGAGCTCCAGCGAACCCAGGGAGGGGCGTCTGAGCGGCAAGCCCGAGCTAGCGTTACCACCGCCTGATTACCATGCATCCTGCAGAGAACCGCCCTCGACCCTGTGTCTGAATCGGCTCTAAGGCAGATGGAAGCCCACGGGCACCCGGGGTGGTGCGGCCGGTTACCTCCTCCATGCCAGGTGTCCGCACTCCCATGGCGAGGGCCCCGGGGGTTGGGCTGCTTTCCGCCCAACAGCAGGTTCGCCACTTGCAAAACCACCTGGTCAATGAACTCGCGAGGGAGGGAGGCGCAGTTCCGCACAGGCTCCACTTTCTCTCTAGGGTGAAACCCAGGCAGCCAGCGGCCTTCTGCCCCGGGGTCCAGGGCCCCGCAGCCGTCCGGACGACCACAGGGGCTGAGGCTGCCGGCAGCAGCCCGGGGTGGGGCAGGGGGAGGCCCCCGGACAGGTGGGCTTGTGGGGCGGCCCCGCCGGCTGTTGATGTACTGGGTTCTCTGCTCGTCAATGGAAACCTCGGCGGAGAGCGGGTACGTCCGGGATTTCCCGATGAGACAAACCTGCATTCGAAATCGCACAGTCAGGCTCCTATGGCTCGTGAGCGGCACCTTCCCTGGAATTCTGCTCTGGCACACAAGTTCCAGAGAAGCCGTGGCTACAGCCGCAACAGAAACCCCAACTTTAAAAAAGAACACCCGTACCAATGATGCGGCAGTGATGGCATGAGACCGCTGACCGCGCAGACCCACGCAGCGGTAGAACAACCGTGCCCTGACGTCCGTGCCACTGCGCCTGTCAGCCGCCCCGCCGCAGACGCCCAGTCACCGTGCACGTCCCGCCCCACGTGGACCCTGACGGCTACCACGAAGCTTTCAGGGGGAGGGGGCAGGGGAACAAGCCACCTCTCTACCAGCCTCGCCAGAGCAAGGGCAGGTGTGCAATTTCTGAGGAGCGCCAGGTACCACCCAGGCACACGGCCCGAGCGCAGCATCCCCGCGCTGCTTCCTCCTCGCGCAGACACTACAAAGCTGGGAGGAGTGTGATCACGTCAGAGCCGCCCCTCACGGTGCCCCGGCACCCTGTGTGACATCGGGCAGCTGACTTCACTGTGCGTGCGCCAGGCAGGTAGCTCCCACGATCGGTCCGCTGTGCGCGGACTCCGAGGCCTGCAGGAGACCTCCACGTGGCTCCGGGCAGCACGGGCACCCCCACAGCGAGGGACCCGAAGCCCACAGTGGGCCTGGCCCAGCACCAGGATGCCTGATGGAGTCACAGGGAGGGGCCGGCCAATTGTGTTTCAGGGAAGTCTGGAGCAGTAAGGCTTTCAACGAGAAAACTTAAAATTGTCCTGAACTTCCAAACAGCCTTTCATTTCAGCCAATTATCTTCGAATCTGGGGAGCTGGAGCTTGGCGTGATCAGACTCTGGAGAGGGAATGAACGAGGGCTTGGCGAGGGTTCCTGCGGAGCTCCCTGGAGAAGGAAGCGCTGGGACGTCCCCGAGGAAGGGCACGGCAAGAAGCCGTCCTTCAGATGGACAAGGGTGACCTGGGGGAGCGTCTGCTCGGGAAGGAGCGCCCAGACCCCAGCAATGACCAGGATGGGGAAACTGGCGCAGGTGCCTCCAACGCCACGCTCTCCCTCCTCAGTGTCCTTTATGGCTCTGCGACCTGGCCCTGAGCTTTGCACCCAACGCCACCACGCCACCCAGGAGAACACCCAGGACGCACCCTCTTGGTGGACGGGATCCTGAGGCAGTCCTCCTCCACGCAGAAGCCGCAGGCGGCCCCCACCTCCCGGATGAAGTCCAGGTAGCCGCGGTACTGCGTCTGCGTGCTCTGCCTGCGGCGGTACTTCCCCGCGAAGTCAAAAAAGCAGCAGGGAAGGACGAAGAAGCAGCAGCGGTAGGAAGACCTGCGAAAATGCCCACAGGCACAGAGACCTGAGTCAGAAAAGCGGGTTCCTCAGAGGGACCTCGGCAGCCAGCCACGTGGCACGGTGACTCCGGAAACACACCCCGAGTGAACCCAGCTCCCCCCACCCAGCCTAGAGACAAGGCGGCACGGTCGAGGTTTCCGATGGACCGCATCACTAATGACTCATGTAAAAGCTCTTCCCATCACAGCTCGCTCCTGCGGCTGCCAGTGGGGCTCCGAGGGCTCGGCTGGGGGACCGAGGTCTGAGGTGGGTGCAGAGCAGATTGGATCTGCCCCCTGGCCCACGTGGCCCCCTGGAGCTGGAGCCGGGCACAAGAGACCCTGACATGGGCGTGAGGCCGCCTGATGACAGACACGGCTGCCAGAGTCTTTGCGGTGATGGGCTTTCTCTGGGGACAAACCCCCTATGAAAACAATGGAACACTTCCGACAAAAAAATGACGCGTCTCTCGGTGCTGGCAGAAACACCACGTGAACCTGTGCAGGTGATTTGGTTTCCTGTCCCCACAACCTGACCCATAAAACAGGTGGGTTTCCGATGTCACCCACAGTCAGCACGCTGTCACTCCAGGCCGCACCTCCAGGGCTCAGTGGCCACTGTTCCACAGGGCAGCGCCCTGCTGCCGTCCCCCTCACCTGGCCGCGATGACAGGTATCCAGGGCGTGAGCTCATCCGAATGGTTCCCGAGGACCCAGTCAACACCAGGGAAGAGGGTCTCATCACTGGGTGTGATGGCGCCTTCCTAAAAAGACAAGACGGAGCTTTAGTAAAGACACGCGGGGAAGGGGGGAGGGTGGGGAAACGGCCCAGCCCTGAGGGAGGCGGCACTGAGAGTCCGACCCTTCTCTAAGCTAATGGCCTGCTGGCAATTACAAATGGGCTGCTTCACAGCAGGATAAAAAGGCACCGCAGGGGAGAGGGGCCCCGGGAAGGGCTTCTCCTTGGGCAGAAATGGCCGTGAGGGGGGCACCTGCTGTGCGGGAGGCCGGGCCGACCCGAGTGTGCGGGGCTCCTGCCCCATTTGTTGGCTACAACCCCACCGCCTTCTGTAACAACGTGGCTCGCAGGCACGCTCCCCGGGCTGATTGCTTGTGAAGTTAAGGTTTAGAGTGTGCTCTTACGATTTAAGGACTTCGAACACTGGCCTGTCTACTAAAGAACCAACCATCAATCACTGAAATCAGGTGCCTCAGCAGTGAATCTGTCCTTCAAAACCGAAAAGCGAAAAGACTATGTAACTATTCAACACATCCCCGATTTCGAGGTTGAAGAATGAACTCAGGGAAGCAAGCAGCGAAGTCGGTCCCCGAGGGAACAGACGAGGAGACCCTCGGCGACACTCACTGGCTCTCAGGGCCCGGCCACTCCCCGCAGGGCCCTCAGAGCAGAGCCCTGCGGCCAGGACGCAAAGCCAGGCTTTCAGGACTCCGGCAGCTCTGCTGCTGAGCGAGGGGTTCGACGCCCACCCGTGCATTGCACGCTGAGAACAGCACCGCGCCGCCGGCTCGCACCGCATCCAGCTGTGTGCAACACGCACCGCGCTTAGGGCCGACTCTCACGCATGAGGTATCCTTACTTTTCCGTCAAAGACTTTGAAACAGTGCGTGTTATACACGGCAACACGCCTGCGGCAGGCCCACAGGGGGACCCCTGCCCGCGCCGGGGGCCAGCACCCTCTCCCCAGCCTCACGAGAGGCTCTGGGAAGTACAGCGGTTCATCCCCTCCCTACACTTCGGATTGCTCAGACCGACGGGAAGGGTCTGGTCAGTGTCTGACTGGCCACCGCGTGCACGCACACACACGGACACACACACACACACACGCACGCACGCACGTTAAATCAGCCGGCACAAGGGGAGACCCGTGAAGAGAGCGAATGGGCGGAGCCGGTACCTCTAAGCGAGTCTGTGGCCCGTACATGTCCCAGGTCCTCCTCCTCCGGACGTCGATCCCTCTGCCGGGGTGCTGGGCAGTTTCAGAAAACAGGTCACGTTCAGTGTGTCCCAATCAACCAGCACAGCCAAACTGAAGTCTCGGCTGTGGCCCCAGCGAGAAGCACGAGACCCCCGCAGCAGCCCCAGGGGCACCAGCTCTGCCTCTCCGCTGCCCACCACAGACGCGCTGGCCAGGCCCAGGCCGGACCCCACACCCCGCTCACCGTTGTGAGTTCTCAACATGAGGACACCGAGTCGAGGGGACGGGACACCCAGGGGCTGGAGCCCCAGGAAACAGCCCCCTCTTCCTGCTCAGCAACTGAGCCTCGTCCTCCCGCAGGGTCTCCCCCAGCCCAATGGACCAGGGCAACCAGGGGTTTATTTCCCGACCCAGCCGTCCCTGTCATGCACACCGCCCCACTTCTAAGTCCCTGCCCTACGTGCTCACACCCACAGACAAGCCCCCACAGGGTCCCCCCAGCGAGCACCAGCCTGTCTGACCGCCAAGGCAGAGGCTGTGGTTGGGGGACCAGCTTTGGGGTCACCACTGGCTTCAATCCCAGCTGTCCCCTTGAGTCGGAAGCCACTAAGCCCCCCGCTGGCTGCACCAGGTGGCCCGGTGACCAAGCCCAGTGCTGCCCTGAGGGCTCCCTGCCTTCACCCCCGACCAGACCACAGTTGCTGCCCACGGTGGTCGCTGCCCACGCGGCTGAGCTCTGAGCCAGAACCGAAGCTCTTCCAGGGCAGAGCCCGCCTTCCCGCCCTGAAGTGGTGCGTTTGCCACAGGACATATCTCATGGCAACACGGGGGCCACTGAAGCCCGTCGTTTCCTGGGCGCCCACGCACGTCCCCGAGATCACCTGTCCCGTGCCAACGACACGCTGTCCCTCCTCCCGGGGGGTGAGCCGCCCCCTGCAGAGCAGCAGAGGCTGTTGCAGCCGCCACTCTGACTGACCCCGAGTCCAGACCGCACCCACAGACAGCGCTGCGACCCTCACGCTGACCAAAGACCCGGAGAGAAAGTTCTGGAAAGGGCTCCAAGCCGGCCTCACCCCCTCGCTGCTCAGGATGTGCACCAGGAGCCCGTTGCCGCAGCCCAAGTCCACGAAGGACTGCTTTGCAGTCTCGCCCCGCGCAGCTCTCTCCTCCTCCCACAGCACCTGGGGGACGGAGCGCGGCAGTCGGCGCGGAGCCCACACGGGGCGGGGGGGGGGGGGGGGGGCCCAACTCGTGCTTGGGACAGGCAGGGAGGCTGCTCTGGGGCCCTGGGCTTCCGCGCCGGCGATGTGCAGGGGGGCGGGGGCTGGGACAGGGCACCGGCCCCACTCGTTGGACACTGCAGGGGCAGTGGGGCCGCGGGGGCTGCCTTCGCTGTACCCTCCACATTCTGTGCACATTACCAATCAAAACAAAATCACACTGCTTCTAAATGACTAAGAACTGCGGTGGACAGGAAACTGGAAAATGGCAGTTCAATACTCTCCTAAATATGACAGGAAAGTCGAGACTAGTGAGTTGAGGGCAGGTCCAAATGCAGCGGGGGCACCAGCCAGCTCCCGGCAGGCCCCCCCCCCCGCCCATGCCGGCCCGCACCCACCCCCCGATGGGTAACATCAGAAACACTGGCTCAGCTTCGAACCCTATAGTCAGGCTGCCCTGTTCACGCTTGTTCACGCGTGTTCACACTCGTGTGAGGCTGGAAGCCGTGATGTGGGCAGCCAGCCTGGGTGCCCTGAGATGGGGTCTGAGAGGCGCTGCTCACTTCGGGGCGTCTGCCAGCAGGTGCCCCGCCCCCCGCCTCCACGTGAGCTTGGATGAGACACGGTCATACCAGCAGGTAGGCGGCAATCGCCACGTCTTCATACACAAACTTCTCAGGATCCGTCACTTCCGGCCACACCTAGGGAATGTCAAGAGCACGCATGTTTTTCTCCCACTCTGACCGTGTCGCAGTTCGTAACAACTCCCATGAGGTGCAGGTCAGAATGGACCATCAGACCGTAGGTTTAATAAGATACACTGGTTCCAAGGATGGAAGTCCGCACTCCTTCAACAGGACACCTGCAGACTCCCGGGCCCCAGCCCCACCCGTGTGCAGCACTGCCTGTGTCAAGCAACACTGCCCAAGGCCAGTCCCTGCGGCCAGGACGGTGCGTGCACGAGGCATGGAAACGAGGGGACCGGCCGTCACACAGGAGGACACCCAGCTACACAGCCTGCTCACCCATGGGGGGGGGGAAGAATGTCACACAAGAAACGAGGGCAGATGGGGAGCAGGGTCCAGAGGCCCCTGCGCTGGTCCTCCGGCCTTTGGTGAGTGGCTGTCACTTCCCAGAGCACGTCCCTTAGCCGTCTGTCCCCACTGTGTTGCCTGGCACCAGGATGACCTGCAGATGCTTTGAAAACTGCACCACAGACGTGTAAGCGGGGGTCTCACTGTCAACGCCAACACCGCGCAGAGCGGGCGGCTGGCAGCGGGGGGCAAGCCAGCGGCCGACGCCAAGTGTGCACATCCACTCCGGTCAGAGTGGACTGGACAGCCACCGCGCTCAGGGCGACTTCCAAAGCCGGCCAAAACGTGACAGTCCCCGTGGGAAGGCCCTGGGCAGTTACCAAGCTACACGGCTGGGGCCCGGGAGACAGTGGAGCCCAGGCTGGCCGGGCCCGGGGCCTGCAGAGGGTTGGGCAGGAAGCAGGGCTCTCGCCCCACGCCTGTGACTCTGGGCGCTTTGTCACACATCAACAGGTGACTAGAAGAATGAGTGGCGGGTGGAGTCATGGCGGCTGCTCGGAGGAGGGAGGGGGTGTGAACCAGGGCCCCCTTCTTTCCACACCTAGGACGCTGAGTTACGTCATGTCTTGGACAGGAAGGACGTGTGATAAAGTTTACCTTTTTGTAAATATATACTTGTGTGCTTTAATTTTCCATATATTTTCTTAAAACACCTTAAAGTTCCTACCAGAGTTATGGTAATTTAATAACTAACTTAATGTTTTCCCTCTTGTTCCCTTCAAGAAAATATCAGTGACGTGCAGATATATAAACTCTTCCCCACACACAGCTGTGGACATGCTGGTGGTCCGCACCCCTCAGCACATTGCGCGTGGCTGCACGGGGGGCAGGGCCACACAGTGGGGGTGGGGGGTGCAGCCAGGGCGTGCGGACTAAATGCCGGCACCTGTGGGAGCTGCTGGGGTGCAGGACAGCAGCCCCACCTGCGCCTCGTTTAAGCCGGGGGTGGGGGCGTCCCCAGACTCACCTTAACCATGTCCTTATACTTGTCCTTGAGCACCTGGTAAGTCTGGCTGTACTCCAGGACAGGGATGAGGGACAGGGTGCTTTTAAACCCGCTCCCCTTGCTCTCCACGGACCAACGGGCCAGCCTGGCCAGCAGCTGGCGCCCCAGCCAGCTGGGTTTGGGGTAAACAATCCCGTCCGAATGCCATCTCTCTGGACAGAAAATCAAAACAGATATGAACCTTTAAAAACAAGAGAGACATCAGTAAGCAGAGCTGGTCTCAATTCTTGTTTTTAAATTACACATTTATCTACCAAAGGGAAAGAAGGCAGCTAGGTTATTTTACCCAAAACTCAAGATTGAAACATGTTAGTTTTCATCTCAGAGAAAAACACGTGTAAGAGGCAGAAAGACTCCTCCTCCCACGGACACTGTTCAAGCACGTCACATGCCCCTCGGGCCGCCCAGACAGACAGACTACAACCAACCGAGGTCCCCCTTCTGCTTCCCCCGGGTTCTGAACCCCCGTGGATTTCCTGATGTTTCTGTTCTTTACTCACTCTCACACGTGCAAGTGAAGCGTGAGCGTACTGGCTGACCCAGTAGTTACTGGCCAGAAAGTTGAGTGCCGAGCCGCAGAGCTGGGGACACACGCGCCACCCCCTGCAGCACCCAGGTCCCTTTCGCCGGCACAAGAACAAGGTGCAGCTGTGGCTCCCGCCCCGGCTGTCGCTGCTCTGCCCCGGCTCATGGGACACCTGATCCCGTGACCAGCAGGCCAGACCACCACTCTCTCGAGGCTACAACTCGGGCAGCCAGAGAAAAGTGGGGCGTGAAGCCTGCTGGGCTTCCACAGAGGTGGCGGGGGCCTTCAGGACAGGCAGAAGCCCAGGCGGCTGGAGAAAGGGGGCAGAGCTGGGGGCAGGCACAGGAACAGTCGGCCTGGCAAGAGCAATGACTGTCAGACTTTGTCACCATGTGCATCAGAGGGACACAATCCACTCCCATAAGAGGTACTGGCTCTCCACTGAGACATACTCTAGGTGGCTGCCATGCAGGAGGGACCCGGGAAGGACAAGGACACCAGATGCTCAGCTCTCCCATCCCTTCACCTGGGGAGCTCTCCTGCTCCGGCTGGTGCCCCCCAGAGGTCCCCACACTGCTCCCTCGTCCACTCAGGCCTCCCCCCCTTTGGGGGTCCGCGCCCCGGGGGCCTTCTGCACCCTCCCTCCACCTGCCGGCACAGCACTGCCCTTGCTAATGAGGGAACGTGGCAGCAGGGGCCCGCTGCATCTCTAGATCCTCTCCACAGTCCTCGGCACTAACTGGTGCTGGAGCCTCGCTCGCCCCCACCCCCTGGGGCGCAGCACTCCCTGCTGGCCCACGTGAGCGCACCGGAAAAAAGGGCTGCGGGACAGGCACGGTGCCCTGGGCAGCCCAGAAATACTCCCTCCAAGCGTGTCAGCTTGCAACATGAAGCCCAGGCCCTGCTCAGCAGCTTCGTTGTGAAACCCATTTTTGGGGGGTGGGAATACTGAGGGCCTCCAAGGCTAGACTATGTCACCAAAGTCACGCTGCCAGTGGGGAAAAACAAGTGCACCTGACCCCAAACCGAACCCCCCCCACTGCACTCGGCTTCCACAGAACCAGGTGCAGCTGCTCTCTGGTCGACAGGCTCCCCAAGACTGTTCTAGAGTGTGCAGACTGGGTGTGGCTCTCAGGAAACCGTGAGCAACCAGCAAGTTTACCCTTTTCATTAAAAAAATACCAAATGGGAGTACACCATGTTCTGACCTTCTGAAAAGCCCCGATACCACCACACAGAACCACGGGAGCTTGTGAAACTGCATTTCCAAACACCCACTGCACCTAAAAATCACAGGGCCTCGGCAGGAAACAAAAAGAAGCCCACACTTGGTCCCCTTGGTGGAGTTATAAGAAGTAACCAAGTAACGAGAGGATGAGTTTACTCGAATTCATTGCTAAACGAAGCCCTATGTGGAATGCAGAGACTGACGACTCCCACTGGGCAGTGACCACACCACACAGGCCAGGCACCAGCGGAACACGCACCACGGAAGCAGCGGGGAGACACGTTCCCACAAGCCTAACCCCCCAAAGGGCAGCCCCTCGAGCGCCTCAGTGGCCCAGAACCAGCAGCTCCTGGAAAAAGTGACTGAACCGCTCAGGAGTCCATCCCCCAGCTCTCACCATCCTTCTCTGCTGCGACTGAGCTGAATCTGATACACGTTGCTCATCTTAACCTTTAAATTCCCTTCGTCATCTTCTTCCAGAGGTAAAAACGTTACCATCCCACTGAGGACATCTGGGGGGAAAAGAAAAAGGTGACAGATTAAAGCTTAGTTGAGTGTCTTAACAGAAGTGGTGTTAAAAGTATTAAAAACAGTAGCAAAATGGATGGTGTGTTGTACCTTCAGCCTCCCAGGGCTTCCCTGCCCCACTTATAACAGGGGCGGGACAGACAGGCCCTCTCGCCCTGCTCCGGGCGGCCCCTGAGCCCACGCCACACTGGGCACACAGCAGCCATGCTCAGCAGGGGCGGCCCTAAAACCCGCACGTCCGGTCGGCCAGCACTAACTCCGGGTCAGTCCATGGCAGCCAATTCACTGCCACAGGAACCTCCAGAGTGCAGTGCAGTGTGAGGTGAAGAAAGAAACTTCACTCAGTGCAAAGCGGCTCAGGTGTGATGCGGTGCAGCTATGAGAACAGCACAGCTGGGGCCCCTCTCCAGCCAGATGGCTCTGCTCTGGGGCCCGCCGATAGGTCTGCACCCGCTCACCTGCCCCTCTGATGAGACAGCTCTGGCGTTTCAGCTCAGCCAGGAAACAGCAATCTCATCGTCAGAAAGACGAAAAGCCCTCACTGGCCGGGGAGCTGGCTTACATAGACGGAAGTTTCCACCCCTGGAACCTCACTGGTCTGTCCTCATGCAAATGAAGACTCCAAATCTCCATAACTTGATTGGTCCACAAGGCACTGTGTGCTGTCCTGGATGGTCATAACACATCCACTCTAATAGGTCAGAGCAGCATTTGGTTGGGGAAAGCCTCATCCTATTGGCTGAAATAGGATCCCAGGGGCTCCTGTATCAGGGCTGCGCTGGTGGCAGGAGCCAGTGCAGGCGGCTCCAGGTGTGCAGTTTGGGTGAGAGGCCCCTGGGCACAAGTAGGTGCTAGGCTCTGGTGTTGTTTAATTCAAGCCCAGTTGGCCTGTAGGCACCCTCCTTGGTGAGTATCTTCTTCCTCAGGGTCCACACTCACCAGGGAAAGAAGTGTAGCTCTGCCTCTTCTCAGGGAAGCCAATGTGAGAACGCAGCTGGTGAAAGCTGGAAGGCCTCCTGAACTAGCCTGGGTGTGCGGGCCAGAGAGGGCCTGCTGGGGCAGGGTCGCCTGCACGGGTCTTACAGGTCCACCGAAGCAGACGGTGCTGAGATGGGGAGGTGCGCACCTACCGGGATGTAGCATCACTGCTTGGGCAGACAGCACAGCCTCCTGCAGGTGTCTCCGCCCTAACACCCAGAACCTGTGACTACCTCCTACCATGGCAAAAAGTGACTTTGCCACTGCGGTTCAGGTTACAGACTTCAGGCGAGGGAGCGTGCAGGTGGGCTCCACTGAGCCATCACGGGAGCCCTGGAAGCCGAGAACCTCCTCCAGCTGGAGGCAGAAGCGGTGCAGAAGGGGAAGTCAGAAAGGCTCCAAGCGTGAGGAGGGTCGACACCAGCCAGCTTTCCGGTGCAGGGAGCTAGCCTGAGAGCCCTCCTGTGGGCTCCCCCAGGAAGGGCCTTTTCACGAACCCCTTTACCTGCTGGACTCCTGTCTGCTGTTCTCCGTGTCCCCCAAGCCTTCCAGGCACCACCCTACCAATGACCATCCTCCGTATATGACAATACATTGCTATGCGCCCCCTCAGACAGTGAAAAAGCTCCTACGTTCCTAGGACGCCGCAAAGGAACTGTCACGGTTGGGTACCTTCTGTGCCTTCTCACTGATCTGGGCTTCCACGAAGGCTTTTTAACCTAACTGCGTCCTCTGGCAGAGTCCCTTGACCAAACTCGAGCCAGCCTCCTCTGGGCCTTTCTCCATTCGGCCTCAACGCTGGCGCATTAAACACTTAAACAAACGTTAATATGATTTCTAACAGCTGTAAGCTGCATCTCGAGGATGACCCGAGGCTCCCTTTAAATGCCTTCCAGGGAAAATTCAAGACAAAAGAAAGGACTCTTCCAGCCCATCTCCTCTCCTCTGTGGGAGGGTAGGAGCCTGGCTTCTAGATGCTCCAGTTAGCAAACCCAGGTGGGTTTCGCGTGCATCAACGTCCATCCGCTCACTCTCCCTTTAAAACGCCTGGTCACACAAATCCAAGCGTTTGGAGCAATCTGGACTCGTTTCCCTGTTGCATTTTAAACTCTGTCCTTGCCCCGTTAACTCGCGTCCGGTTTTGTTTATCTGGACACCTCCCGGTATCAGAAATACCCCTACCTTGCACGACGATTTCCCTTCTCGGAGCAGCAAGGGGGCAATGCGGGCTCCTTTTCGGGATGATGGTTCTGAGAACCACGTCGAGTTCGCGCTGAGTCTGTGGCTGCAATCCTGCCCCTGAGCCTGTGAGGAAGGCCAACAGCTCCCGATGGTCGCCAACGAGGCCTCGGGAGAAATAGTCCCAGAAAGAATCCAGCTCCGAGGAGAAGTCGCCCTCCCCGCCTCCAACCTCGTTGGGCTGTCCCGGGGCTCCTGCGAGCAGAGGCACTGCGGCTGCTTCCCTCCTGTCCTCGCCTTGGTGGCGTTGGCCCAGGGGCTCCTCAGGGCCTGCACTCGGCCTGGGGCTCGGACAGTCCTGGAGGGAACATGGACCACGTCCCGATCCCTCCTCGGACACGCATCCCGCCGCAGCCCGAGCCTCCTGCTCCGTCCGAGGTAGGGCAGCGTTCCGCCGAGCCTCCACGCGGACGCCACACAGCCGCCGGTTGGCCACCTGCGGCCTCTCCAGCCACACAGCCACTGCTGCCCAGAAGCCACCCGGGAGCAGTGTACCGGGGTCGCGCACCGCGACACGGCCCACCTCCGCCATGGTCAGTCTGAGCCAAGAGCCAGGCGGCGGCTCGCGGCGATGACGAAAGGCGGCGCGGACATGACGTCATGGGGCGGGACGCTGGGGCAGAGCAGGAGAGGGGCGGGGCGGGGGCGGGGCGGGGCGGGGCGGGGCGGGGCCCGGGCCCGAGCTAGAGCACTCGCTGCTCCGATTCCCTGGCTGGATTGCTCTGCGGAGTTCTCGGCTGAGGAATTTAGCCTTTGCTTCATCCTGGGGGGATTGATCCATTGCAGGCGCGTTGGTGCCTCATAGAAGCATGATCAGAGCTGAGCTTTGGAGAGTCCGGAGGTGGCGCATTTACGAAATCCTAAGGACCAACCAGGCATCCGACGTCGAGCTGTCTCCAGTATTGATGACTTAAGATCAAGGAGCCCGAGTTTGTGAAAGTTCAAGATGACGCCTCTTATGGAAGCTCGTTCCCCTCATTCTTATGTGGGAGAGCCACAGCGTGCGCTCCTGTGCCCCAGTGCAGCCCTGGCTGTCTTACGTCAGCTGTCACCTGCGATAGGGAAGGGTGGGCGCTATCAGTTGAAGCCAACCTCACAGGCACACTTTACAGAAGCTAGTGATGAAACAAAACGTCAGAGATTCGTCATCCTTTTGGTACATCAGTGCCTGGGGGGCGCGGGTTTCGTTCCCAGATGGTGTCTGTGAGAACCAGAGTAAGTCAAAACTAACTCAGAGCATGCGATTTATCAAAAAGCGGGCCACATGTCTGGAATAAATAAGATAAATGAGTGATAGAACCTCAGAGACACACCTGCTCCCTCGGGCCCTTTCAGTCTTTGATTACGCGACGGCCTGTCCCTGAGTTTTTCTAGGGCAGCCATAAGTTACCAACAAACTGGTGGCTTAAAACAACAGGAAGCTATTCTCTTACAGTTCCGAGGGCTCCGAGGGGGAATCTGCTCCCTGCCTCTCACTCCTGGGGCTCGCAATCAATCGGTAGCTCTCCTTGGCTAGCGGCCACATACCTCCCATCTCTGCCTCATGGCCACAGGGCTTTTTCCTTGTGCTTGTTGTCTCTTCGGCAAAAATCCCATTTCCAAATACGGTCCCAGGTACAGTACATAAGGGCTTTGACATCTCTTGCTGGGGGTTGGGGGCATAATTCAGTCCCCTATACTGTCCAAATAGGTTTAACGTAGTTGGGCCAGCCAAAGGATTAGTAATTATTTACAAATCTTACTGGTTGTCTATGTACATGGGCTATGCATACATTTGAGTTGGTCAAAAAGTTCACTTGTTTTTTTCCCCATAAGATGGCTCTAGTAGCACTTGGTTGTCTTTAAGTCCATTCAAAACAATTTTGTTAGATTGTATTGTGGAAGCTGTCATATCAGTGTGCATTTAAGAAAAACATCAGAATTGGTGAATTTTCATGTAGCCATCTTAATACAGAAGATGGAAGAAAATACACCACATTTTCGACATAGTATGCTTTATTATTCCAAGAGGTAAAAACACAACTGAAATGCAAATAAGGATTTGTGCAACGTATGAGGAAGGTCTTGTGACTGATCAAATGTGTCAAAAGTGGTTTGTGAAGTTTTGTGCTGGAGATTCTCACTGCACAATGCTCCACCATTGGGCAGACCACTGAAGGTGACAGCGATCAAATTGAGACATTAATTGAGAACACTCAATGTTATACCATGCAGGGGAGAGCCGACATCCTCAAAATGTCCAAATGTGTCTTTCATTTTACAGAATTTTTGGGCAACCCAGCCCGCTCTTTGGCTAATCTCTTGGCTGCCGTAAGCACAGCCAAGAGCAGCATTTCACCAGGGGGTTAGCAACTCATGGGAAAGGCTCATCGATTCAGGGCACTAGCATTAGACTGGGTATTCTGGCCTGTTAGTTGATCTCAGGATGCAAAGTGCTTTCGTTTTTTCATTTGGTTTAGTATGTAACGTCCCTAATCAAAACAGGAGCCAAACAAGGTGTCTGCTCTGATTTCTCCTCAAACATCTTGTCTCTTGGGCTCTGCACTCCCATGCTCCGGGCCACCATGTCCTGGCTCTGACTGCACACCATCTGGGCATAGCAGAGTGATAAAAATTACTGAATGGACACCTGGAGCCCCACGACTTGGACTGAGCAGGCATAAATTCAGAGGCCAATGTTTTGGGGGAGGTGGAAAATTCTACGTGGACTGATATTCTTGCTGGAAACCCAACCATTGAACTAAGAAGACATTTAACCCGCCTCCAGTCTCCTGCCTCCAACATCCCCCACACCGATTCTGCCCAACCCCTCTCCTTTAAATTCTCCTTTAACCTCTTTCTTCCTCTCACAAGCTCAGCTCTTGCCACAGGGGTCTTCTCGCTCTTGGAACTTGCCAAGCTCATTCATTTCCACCCCAGGGCTTTTCTCTAAGTGATCCCTCTGCTTGGAATGCTCGTTCCCTGTGTTCGCCTAATTAAGAAAGCAGGTTTTTCCTGTTTGGGTTGATTGGCCAGGAGTGCTAGGGTGTGAGAGCTCCCCCTACTGGTCCTCCTGGCTTTAAGGTTTAAACGAGGTTTTTGTGAATCTTTGCAAATACAATAGCTGATGCAACTACGGAAGTGAACTCTCAATTCATTTTAACTAGTGCACATTAAAATGCAAATAGCCACACGAAGGCTAGTAATTTCTGTATTGGACAGTGCAGCTCTAGAGAGACCCAAGTGGGACGCCGCAAACCACTACACCCTAGGTCCTAGGTACAGAAAGGGAATGAAAAAAGATCCAGTTGAACAGTGGAACGGCCCTGTGCCTGCTGCCAAGCCCTGCGAGCGGGAACCTCTAACCGAAATCTCTGCTGTAATGGGGCGGCCCCTCCATCCTGGGGTGGCTGTACAGCATGCCCCACACTCTGAAGTCCAGCACGGCATGGACACAGACTGTAACAAGATGGAGGTTTACCTGCAGCAGAGATATATCCACTTGACCGGTTAAAGGGACATTGAGGATCTTCTCTGTTTATGCCTGAATCTTCATTGTAAGAATGAAATATACGCGTGCTGTCTCCCAGGGGGAACTGGCCCTTCTCCTTGAGAGATTAGTACTTTTCAAAAAAGAGGAAAAGATTTTATTTATTTAATTTTAGAGAGGGAAGGGAGGAAGAAAAACATCAATGTGTGGTCGCCTCTTGTGTGTCCCCCATGGGGGCCTGGCCCCAACCCCAACTATGTGCCCCAACCGGGAATCAAACCAATGACCCCTCAGCTTGTGGGCAGGTATTTCAGTCCACTGAGCACCACCAGCCAGGGTGCGATGAGTACTTTTAATATTTAACTGTTCCTTCGGGAAGAACTGACTCTTCTCCCAGTGGGCCCTGTTGGTTAGCTGAGCCCACCAGGCCCTGGGCACGAAGCCACTTCTGCCTGAAACAGATTTAAGCAGAGCTCCCACAGTGACACTGCGGGATCTCACCCAGGGAAGGGCGCTTCACTCGGAGCTTTCCTAATCGGATTCCAGTGCTGCTGTCTCCGGGACTCCCCAGTGTCTGCGTTAGGTGTAGGTGATCTCCCGTCTGGTGATGGATGCTCTTGATTACTGCTTTTGCTTTGCTCTCACTTAATAAAGTGCTGAACTATTCATCTTTGACTTGGAGTTTTTATTGTCTGCGAATCCAAACCTCCAAATTAAGCGGCCATGATCTCGTACATGTCCCTTAACGGCACATCATTCAACAGTCCCTCTTGGCCAGGAACCACAGACATCACTGCGGCCAGTCAACTTTGTGTCAGAAGGATCCCTTGCTGGAAACACCACCTGGATGCAGGGTCAGTTCTCACAGCTCAGGAGCGCGCACACATGGCCCAATTTGTTCACCAGTCTCTCCTTTCTGCTTTGGAACAGGAAGCCCAGCTGACACCTGTAATAAGAAGTCTGGAGTAAGAGTCGCAACTGTGAAGAAAAATGTTGCCATGGAATGAAAGAGAAGGTATTTCAAAGTAGAATAGCAGTAGAAAACTTCCAGGTATCAGCTGAACCTCTCCATTCAGATGTCCCACCAACATCTGCAACATGACGGTCTCTAAACTTGAACTTAGCTTTCGCTTCCCCATGACTGCACTGCCCATCTTCCAGTGCATGGATACCTTTTGCCCGCTTCTTCTTCTTTATATGGCAAGTTGCCAGGTCCAGCTGATTCTGTCTTGATACATTTAACAGGATGTGCCTGTCTTAATTCGGATGCCCCCAAACAGAGCTACTGAGGCAAGGCTTTGGGCGCATGTGTTTTAAATATGGAGCCGACCCCAAACGGGGAGTGATGTGGAAAATGCGAGAAGAAAGAAACTCTAGGAAAGGATGAGCTATCGACTTCGTTACTGGTATGGGCGGCGGGGTTCAGTTCCACTGGGGACGCTCTCGCGGCCTGGGGAGCCCCCTCCATGGTTTTCTGACTTTACGAGCACTTGGGCGTGCTTACCAATTTGGGAATGCCCAGCCTAGGGGTTCTGACTCCGCAGCTCTAGAATCCGCAAGTTAGACAAACGTCCCAGGGATTCTGGTGCAGGGGACCCCCGGGGAAGAGCGCCGGGGAGCGACCAGCCAAGGTTCTCCGCCCCCGCGAATCCCCGCGGCTACTCCTGCAGACAGAGCGCTCCGAACGCGTTGGGTCTCCTGGGCGACGAAGGCGGGCGGCGCGGAGCGATGACGTCACGGTTGGACGGTGGCCGAGGTGCAGTGGCCGAGGTGCGTGGCTGAGAGGCGGGGCGGAGCGGAAGTCCACAGCCGAGCGAAGTTGGCTCCCCCTTGCAAGGTTACAGCGCCCCAAAGACGTTTATCGAGCGTCTGCTGTGTGCGCCAAGGGGTGCTGACCCGGCGAACAGAAGTGACTGGTGAGATCCGAAGGTCCAGCCCATATCTGCCCGGGGGCGAGGGAAGGCGGCGCGTGCAAAGGCCCGGGGCACCCTCAGGGGTCCTGCGCGCACCCTGCCATCGCAGGGTGTGCAGGAATTGCGGGGTGCACAGGAGACAAGGGCCGGCGACCCGAGGGTAAAGCCTGCGGGACTTTTTGAGGAACTCGGACGTAGTCCCGGGAGGTCACGGGAGCTATTCCCTGCAGTGAGAAAGATCTGATCTGAGTTTTCGTGTTCTCTTTTCCACTGCGGAGAGGTCAGTTAACTGGGGGGCGACTGTTGTTGGCACAATGATCACATGGAAGCCATAGTTCCATGCTGGGACTGTTCCGAGTGCCTCCTGCCAATTCCAACAGCCCAGAGACTGCGTACAGTGAGTCCTCACTTAGTGTCGCTGATGGTTGCTGATAGGTTCTGCTTTAAGCAAAAGGAAGCATAATGAACCCATGTCCATAGGCTTATGGCTGTAAACCAGAGTTAACGTTTCCACACTTCTGGGTGCCTTATAATGAAACAACCCTGAAGAAAGTGAGTTATTGGAGCACCTGGTGTACTAGACACTAGAATAGCATGACCTTACCATGGTCACTGCCGAGGCACAGACAGGTGGTAATGTTATAGGAAAACGAAGCAACCAGACACCGAGGGATTCTGGAGTACGAGGTTTATTAATGTGCACAGGCCCATAGGAGTCAGTCTCCAAATTCTGAGCCCCGCACAAAGGATTCTTGGGGTTTATATAGCCTACGGGGTCTTCTGTCTACATAGCAAAGTGAGATACAGAAGCGGAATGCGGTAATTAGTTCTATCTAGGGGGAGAAGCAGAGTACAAAGGCTAAATGTGGAAATTAGTTTTATCAGCAGGGGTGCTAGTCCCAGTCCTTGTGACTATCCTGCTGTTTGCTTTTCCCGTGTGGCCTTAGGGCTCTCCCAGGGCGCCTGGAGTTTTGGGTGAGCAAAGGTTTTCCAAAGCTTTCCACATCATTCCCCCCTTTTATGCTAAACAACACTAGTGCTTGTTTTAGCATAACAATATTCTTCTAGTAGGAATAAATAAGTCCCCCCTTTCCCTGGATTTAGAGTATTAATGAGGTTTCTTTCCCTTCTGGAATTATATACAGAACAATGGACGAAGGTCTCATCTTCTTGTGACTTCTTCTGGCTGGAAATGGACGCTGTCCTACCTACTCCTGGGTCAGGGGTGCTCTAAAAGGGGGTGCAGCATGGAGAGAGTCCTTCCTGTAAGGGGAAAGACCTTACAGGGTCTTGGTCAGTTGGCTGTCACCTGGACGTCGCAGGCTTGGCGTCCAAAGGCTGGCATTACTGAACTGTTGGCATACTGGTCAGGTTGTATTCTGGAGGTGACAGATTAAGCAAGAAATTGGAAGTACAATTAAATTATAACTATTAATTGACAAAAGCAGGGACTTCAGTAAATTATCTAGTGGAAGGTGCACAAGGCATGCTATACCTATCTAAGACTCTTGTGGCTTACTATACTTCACTCGGGCTGAGGGGAATACATTAAGATTTCTCTCCTTTCAGACTTCTGAGTCCTTTCTGTCCAAGCTATGAAGACAGAAAAGGGAAAATCAGTTCTAAAGTGAAGCCCACAGACTGCCCCAACCTTTTATTAACTTAACTACTTAGTTCAACCAAACCGTTGATTCTCATGAGGGCGATAATGAAGATGGGCTCTTTAAATGAGGCTTATATTGCTACTAATTACTTATAGGCATAGGCAGGTCATAGGCATACGCCCTATGAAAACAGAAGAACATACAGGTTAATTAACACAACAATCTCCAAACCAGTCTCTGTGCCTGTGAGACTGTCTTTTGGGAAGACATTCCATTGCAAGGTCCTTTGCACCTGTAAATTGTACATCTTTAGTGATATCACAAACCTGGTTTCAACTCTAATGAAAACAAACTTTCAAGACAGTTAGCTGCACCATTCTGATGTCCAATACTGAGCATTGTGATTTTCTTTGAACTACAATTTTTCTCCTTAAGATCACCCTCACTGTTATTACAGGGACTACTTTGGGTCCCGCTTTTGATTTTGACTGTTTGTTTGCATAAACACACCAAGAGCAGCCTGGATCACTATGATCCTTAAGTCTGCTTTGTCGGAACTCACACAGGGAACTCTTAGATCGACTTCTCAGTCCGCCCCTCAGGGCACAGAAGCAGAGCCACACATCTGCCATCTGGCTTCGCCTGTACCGGTTGTTTCACTCAAGTCCTTGAACCTCTATTGTGCCTGCAGGTTCCTTTTCAGCCATCCTTCAGGAAAGCAACCTTCGTTCCTTCCCTGGAAAGACTGGCATGAACCGCACAACCAACTAAAGTACCAGGCATTGCTCGTGGGCTTTCACTAGCCTCATAGGTCAATCCCAGTTCCTCTGAGCTTTTTGTTAAGGACCAGAACCCATATATGCCTCCTTCAGGCATGACATTCCAGTCAAAGTTCTGGTTAACAAAACTACTATTAATAACTGGCCTTACTGGTTTTATGCAAAGAAACCTTATGTCATTATTCATTCCTTCAGAGTGCTGAATTCTGGAGGGATCAGGTAGGGAGAAAAATACAAAGTGTGATGGAAAATCCTTTTCCTTCTGATACCTACTAAGATCGCATCTCCATGCCTTATACCTTTTATTACTAACTCCACATAATTCCTTTCCAAAACTTTTGCAAACTTCTACATACCCTTTTCTATCTGCACAGCTTTCCACAGACCTTCAGCAACATCTAAAAAACTTTTACATCCTTTCATATACTTCTTTATTTACAAATCTTATACTTTCTATTGTTCATTTTCTTACAGAGTATAAAGTTTCAAACTTTTCTGGAATCCTCAATTTCCTTCCTCAGAGTAGATACAGAGCAAAACCCGAAACACAGAGTTCCGAAACAATACAGGTAGAGACATTCTCTTGCACCAGTGCGTCCACTGGTGCCTCGCAGAGACATGCTCCTTCAGGCCCGGTCTCATGGCAGAGACATGCTGCTTTGCCTCAGGCTGAAACACTTATCAGCCCCAAATGACCCTTCCTGGGTCCCAGGTGGCAAAGGCATCCTCTCCAACCGGCTACAGTGACCTTTTCTAGGTCTTCAGGTACACAGGGTTTCTGATCAGAAACAACCAGTGGCAGAGAAATTCGCTCTTTTCCCACAAAACCAGAAAACAAGTAGTTGAGGTTTCCTTTACTCTAGGTTTAAACTTTCATATCTTTTATACATATTTCTACTCATCTAGATTTAATCATCATTCTCTTTTCATCTTGGTTCCTTTCCCACACTGGGAAAGACTGTACTTAAACTCAGTGCTTAAACTCAGTATGTGGCAGCTAAAAGTCCCTAGCATTTTAGGTATCTTCTGCCAAAAGTCCCTAGATTCGCAGGGACATTTTGCACCTTTTTGAAGCTTAGACGTTGTAAATACCCTGTAAATCAGGTGGTCACTCTTGGACCTCAGTTCATGACCTTCAAAACCAGAGCCATTACTATTACAGCCAGTTACACAGAGAACCTGACTGCTGCAGTGCCCACACAGCAGTAGCATGCAGCCTATAGTCTAAAGAGAAGCTTTATCCAGGTCCAAATGGCAACGCCCATGCGTGCTCTGTCCTCCAGGTGGGGCACTCACTTGGCTCATCTGTTTTACCTACAGTGGCAGTACCCCGACTCTGGTTCCGCCCACCTGCGGAGGTTCCAGGGCTCCAGTTTCAGGAACCCCGGAAGCCCCCAAGGCCCCTTCCACCTTTGGGTGTGGAGGCACCACAGAGCCACCCTCCACCCATTGGGGTCATTTACTGAGGCTGCAGTCACTAGTGGGGGCGGGGCAGAGGTCCCACCCACCTCTGAAGGTGGGGGCCCTGCGGCTTCGTTTTTGGGAGCCAAAGCAGCTCCTGGCAACCCCTGCTACAGTGGGTGAGCAGAGCCTACTTGCAGAGGCTGCAAATTTATGGTAGAGACTTCTCCCACTTGCGGGGCAGGAGAAGCCCTAGTGGGCCTCACCTCCCTAGAAAGCAGTGTCACCATGCGAGTTACTGCTGTCTGGGGTCCCCCATTATCTATTCTGAGGATGGGAGGAGGTCTCCTAAAGACTAATTCACACGGGGCACAGCCTGAAGGGCTAGGGGCACTCCCAACCCTAGGCAGCGCCGGCGGCAGCAAATCAGTCCAAGGCAGTCCAGCCTCCCAGTGGAACCCAGCCAGAGCTTCCCCAAGAGTCTGGTCCATGTGCTCTACTTTTCCCGAGCTCTAGGGTCAGCATGCAGTGTGCCCACCCTGCCCCGACCTGTGCCCCTGGGGTCAGCACGCAGTGTGCCCACCCTGCCCTGACCTATGCCCCTGGGGTCAGCACGCAGTGTGCCCACCCTGCCCCGACCTGTGCCCCTGGGGTCAGCACGCAGTGTGCCCACCCTGCCCTGACCTGTGCCCCTTCTTCAAGGACACCTGACACCCTGTTTTCATTAGCAGTTCAAACAGCTGGCAAGGAGCACCGGTCTCAGGTTGGTGCGGCTGAAAGGAGGTTATCTACACACCGATAACACTGGGTCAGTCTCCTTCCTGGTAAATGATTTTAGATCTCTGGCCAGGGCCTCTCCTAGGGGAGTGGGAGAGTTTCTGAAGCCCTGTGGCAGTCTGGTCTGGGTCCAAGCCAGCTAACCTGAGGACTGTAGGCACTTATAACCCTGGTCTTTGTCGCCCACCAGTGGGCTTTTCTTCTTTCCTTTTGGGGCACTCTCTTTTCTAGTACCCCTTCTCTCTGCAATAGGCGCACTGGTCTCGTTCCGTGCTCCTGTGTGCCGGTCTATTTCTTTTCTTAGGCAATCTGGTGGCTCCCTGCTCCTGGGAGGTATCTGGTTTCCTAAAGGACCCACTGCCAGGGCCCCCAGCACAGGCCCAGGAGGTCTTCACAGCTCGCTCCTGGCTCAATCACGGGGCTTGGCTGGGGCCGCCCTGCTTATCTCCCTGGCAACCCCTTTAGCAGGACCAGGTGCAGGGGGCCATGTGGGCCTCAGCCACCTCTTGTCCCTCCAGCGGAGGGGGGGAGGTCACTGCCTCTGCCTCACTGCTCTGTTATACTGGGGCATATTTTAGAGAGGCCGACCCCTTTGAGCAGGGTCTCTACTCTGCTGCCAGAGACCAGCAGGAGCCGGAATCTTGGTCGCAGTTGAGGGTCTTTGCTTCCCCGGGTCTGGCCAAGAGTTTCCAGAACATATAGGGGAGGCAGACTGATAGGTGGCTCTTCCTCTGGCTCTCCTTTGAAACGGGGGTGGGGGGGGGTGGCGTGTTCCTCTTGACTGGGCGACTAAAACACTGGATTGCACCACTTTTCGCCTACCGCCAGCCTTTCCCACTGTCTTAGGCTTCTGACCTGCACCCTGACAGCATGTCCTGCACTAATTCCTGCCAGCGGTCTATATAAACACACTGATCGGGGTGTCCTGGCTTGCCTGTTACTATGAGGTGGACTGTCCTAATTATACCTAAGTTTAGTGTTCCTTCAGGGGGCCAGCCTACTCCAAATGTTGGCTACTCAGAGGCGCAAAAGACCTCTAACTGACCGGCATCTATGCTCGGTTCCTGGCCCCGAAATCAGTCAGAGTTTTGCAGCATGCAATCTAACACAGTGGAAGGTCCCCCGCCCATGGTGATCCTCCCAGAACGACGCAGACAAACAAAGGGAAGGGGGTTTCACTCGCTCACCCGCCTGGCCTGCTCCCTCGCGGGACGAAGTCGGTCTTGCTAAGGTTGCCCCAGCAGAATTCGGGGTTAGCTGCCAACCCTTATGCCGTATGACCCGACACAGGAACCGCAGCTTGGGGCCCACTCTTGCTCCGTAGGACCAGCCCGTGGAGCCACAAACACAGTCACTCACACTTTCACTCTTAAGCACTCTGAGTTTAAACAATCCCTCCCCGAGTGAGGGTCAAGTGGTCAGACTCAGCATGAATCTGACCCAAATTTCTGATTTGAGGTGATCAGCCTCTCTCTGGTCTCGGGTCAAGTCCCCGGGGCTCTTACCAATTTGGCGCCTCTGGTCTCGGGTCAGGTTGTAGTCCGAAACCCTCTCTTCCCGCCTGGAGTGTGGGCCGTCGGCCATTGCCCCAACCGGACGGGGTCTGAGAAGTCTCAGGGCACGTGCACCCCCGCTTCCCCAGTTGGACCTCCGGCTGCCTCCCTGCTTATCTAGTCGACGGCTAGTCAACGGCAAGTCGACCCGAATTTGTGTAAGGTTGCTTCCCGGTCAGGAAACCAAATGTTATAGGAAAACGAAGCAACCAGACACTGAGGGATTCTGGAGTACGAGGTTTATTAACGTGTACGGGGGCAAAGGAGTCAGTCTCCAAATTCTGAGCCCTGAACAAAGGATTCTTGGGGTTTATATAGCCTATGGGGTCTTCCTGTTTACGTAGCAAAGCGGATACAGAAGCGGAATGTGGTAGTTAGTTCTGTCTACGGGGCAGAAGCAGAGTACAAAGGCTAAATGTGAAAATCGGTTCTACCAGTGGGGGTGCTAGTCCCAGTCCTACTGACTATCCTGCTGTTTGCTTTTCCCATGTGGCCTTATGGCTCTCCCAGGGCGCCTGGGGTTTTGGGTGAGCAAAGGTTTTCCAAAGCTTCCCACATCAGTAACTGAATGGGAGACTTTACCCAGCTCATGAGCTCTGGAGTCAGAATCCTTCCCTGTAACTAATGTTAGTGACCTTGGGTGGCATGGGGCCGTAGGGGACTTATTGATCACTTAGGATCATGGGACTTGTGGTCCATCTGCCTGATGACAGCTGTATGACATGGGGCAGCTGACTTTGCTCTGACAGACTGCCACACCACTGAGACATCCACCTGCCTGCGGGGATTGCGAAATAGTCGGAGGTTTTATTGCAAGATTTAATGGGGGGTGGGGAGAAAGGAAGGGTTTGGTAGGCATTAAAGAGGGGAGCGGGGGTTTCCAGAGTGACATCTGGGTTTACAGCTCCTTGGGCCACTGGCAGGGTGGATGTAGGCGTGCAGAGCAGGCTGGATCAGCGGGCCGAGGTGAGTTCCCAGTTCAGAGTTTGAGGACCTCCAGGACACGAGTGCAGCGGGCGGAAACTGCCAAATAAGCGCGAGATTCTGGGACCCCTCCGTGCAGGGAGACCACGACCCACCAGCTTACCTTGGCGCTGCCCTTCTCTTTCATCCGTGGGTCTCCCCGTCACCTTTGTTCTGAAGTGAAAACAAGGAGCTCCCCCCCCCCCGCTTTGGTCTGGGGAACATGAATGTTAGCTCCAAATGCGGTCATTCTCTCTTGCTGTCCCTTTCCAGTTAGTTTTTCTCTTGTAACACGTGGCACTTACACGGTTGCTCATGGATGGTGTGAACAGAATGACTGGAGCACCCCGACTCAGACTGTATACTTTGTACAGGTTGACATCAAACGATGGCACCCACGCCAGAAGGAAGCGAGGACACTCTGTTCCCAGATTTCCCCAGGGGGCCCCTGCAGGCGTACCGTGCACGCGCGTCCTTCAACTGGAAGGAGCTGGCACTGTTCTTGGAAGGCGAGGACATTCTGCGCCTGAAGGTGAGGCCCTACTGGCCCAGAGAGGGGTCTGTTGGCATCTCAGTTCGCTGGCAAAGATGGGGCTTTGCGTTCTTAAAGCCTCGTGGCTTCCCTGGGCCTCAGGTCTCCCTCTGTAAGGTGTGGCTGTTCCTGGGCGCAGTGCAGGCTGGGCCCCTGTTTGCACCCCGGGATGGTGGAGCCTCAGGGAATTGTCCAGGCACCCGGCGGGTTGGAGCCTCCTAAGCCTCAGCCAGGAAGGACTGCTGTCTCTGTCCTGGTGTTTCTGGCTTAGACTTAGTGCACCACGCCGCAGCCTCGAGAAAACGGGGATAAGTAAGAGTGTGGTAAGATTGCAGTCTTTGCTTCTAAACTGCTGTTCTTGTGTTTCTTGCATTTCCAGAAAACTATCTTCTCGACCTTGGAGAACGACCCCCTCTTCGCCCATCCCAGGGGGCACGACCTCTCCCTGGAGCAGTACCGCGAGCTGACCTTCCGGCGCCACAAGCGGCTCTTCGAACACAACTTCCTCCACCCCAGTGACCTGCAGCAGAACCCGCTTAAATCCCTGGTGCTGGTGAACTGCCTGGGCATGTACGACTGGTCCCTGGCCAGCAAGGTCATACTGAGCACATCTGTGAGTAGGGCTCAGGAGAGGAATGTCCAGGCTGCCCTGGGTCAAGGCTTCTGTTACCACAGGAACTTGTGTACAGAAAATACACGCAGCCTGTGGGATTTAGATGCTCACCGCCGTGGTTTTGGGGTTGTTCATGCTTATCTGCTTTTAATATTTTCTGGGGATTTGTGTGTTTGGGGAAATGCTTGTTTAAAGAGATTTCTAGTAGTAATGTAGGAGCCCTGGTTGGTGTGACTCAGTGGACTGAGCACCGGCTGTGAATGGAAAAGGTCTCTCAGGTTCGATTCCCAGTCAGGGCACATGCCTGGGTTGCAGGCCAGGTCCCCAGTAGGAGATGCAAAAGAGGCAAACACACACTGATGTTCCTCCCCCTCTGTTTCTCCCTTCCTTCTCCTCTCTAAAAATGAGTAAGTAGTACTTTAAAAAACAAGGATATTGTAGGAAATGAGCAGAGATGATAACGTGTCAGCAGATCGTGGGGTTTTTAGTGAGAAATCCAGTTTTCCCACCCATCTGCATAAACCAGCACACACCCGACCTTGAGAGAGCGCAGCGCTGTGGACGGCAAAGCCCTGTAAGAGGAGCAGCTTTGGGACTCCTTTGCTGTATCCCCCGCCCCGCCCCCCTGAACACCCCTGAAAACAAAAAACCTTGGCAAAGCACATGGTCTCCCCAGTTGTCTGATGGAAAGTGGGCCCCTGGCCCTCACGCACCCCCTTCCCGCCCGTCCTGTCCTGCGTCCCTCACAGAGCCTCAGGGTGTGCTGGGCGATTCTGCTGGATTTGCTCAAACTGCTTGGGAGGGGACCCAGGCCTCCCAGCCCCCGCAGCCTCGCGTGCCTGTGGTCAACCTCTCGGGGCTGCACTGGCTGTCTGGCCCGGTGTGGCAGTGTGAAACCATGGGGGTTCGAGGGCTCTCATTAGTGACACCGCAGGGCAGCAGCACTGTTAGCTTCCCCCTGTTTATGGGACGACGTCACATTTTTCAGGTCTTCCTGTCAGCGATTTACAACTCTGGTTTCGAAAGACTTTTCGAATACATCCCAAAGGTCTTCAGCATGGAGGTGAGTTTCCACTGGCGGCAGGCTGTGAGCCTGCAATCTCTCACTGTCCTCCTGGAATCTGTGGGCGGGGCAGCTGCAGGTGGGGGGCCTGGGGATCTCACTGTATCGACTGGTGACCGCGTGCTGCTCTCAGGTCGTTCACGCCACCCTGAACAGACGGGGCTGCCGAGCCCCAGTGCTGACTGGGTGTGGCTTCTCCTTATTGAAGCGAAAGGAGCTGCTGCCCAGGAGCTGCTCTGGCCCCAGGCCAGCTTAGTGGGGCCCTGGGCCGTGTGGTGTCCCACACAGCTGGGGGGACGCTGCGAGACCACTAGTGGGTCAGATAGGAAACTGGGGTTTGGGGCTTCTGCTGGGGTTAAAGGGCGCTTGGCCCTCAAAGGAAGGGTGGGGCGGGCCCTTCCAGGTCTACGGAAAGGAGCCCCTGCTGCCCGACTCTGCCTTTGCTTCCACGCTAGATCTCTGGGTGCCTGGCTCTAACTGAGCTCAGTCACGGGAGTGACACCAAAGCCATCCGCACGACCGCGCACTACGACCCCGCCACCGAGGTAGGTGCCCCCGTCCCCGCGCTGCCACGGCTTCCAGCCCACAAACTATGTGCGGTCATGAGTGAAAAAGTCATCAGACCCGACACTCGGCTGCACCGTGGCACAGATCCGTGGCGCCGATAAGGGCAAGGCTGCACCTGCCCCTCCCGGAAACTGCAAGGATGGGTGGTCAGCGAGGGGTCCAGCGGACACGAGGCGGGTGGGCAGGAACGGCACTAGCAAAGGTGGTCGGGGAGGTCTCACCAAACACAGACACGACCCGGGGCTCGGCCCCACACCCTGCCCTGAGGTTTCGCGTACGTTGTTACCTTGTCTGATGCACTGGGTGCTGTCTCCACGGGAAGGTTCCTTTTCCAGGCCCGCGGCCCAGGAACACGCTCCGAGTGCGGCAGGGCCACGGTGCCTCCAGGAGGGGGAACCCTCGCCAGTCTCTGCCCTCAGCTGAAGGGTCGGAGCTGAGAGCGCGCCAGAGCAAAAGGGGGCTTCTGTGTGCATGAGCCGATCAAAGCCCCCCCGTACCCCCCTGTGCAGGAATTCATCCTCCACTCCCCCGACTTCGAAGCTGCCAAATTTTGGGTCGGCAACATGGGCAAGACGGCAACCCACGCGGTGGTGTTCGCGCAGCTGTACACGCCGGGGGGCCAGTGCCACGGCCTGTTCCCCTTTGTCGTGCAGGTGGGCTGCTGGCCTCGGACGTGGCGTCCGGAGACATAGCCACCCCCGGGGGTGGGGGTCCTTCTGGCGTCTAGTGAGTAGACAGGGATGCAGCTAAACACCCCACAGCGCCCAGGGCAGCCCACCCTCCCGGGAAAGGACTGTCCCCCCCGGGTATCAGGTGCCGCTGCTGGACAGCCCTGAGCTCTGGGGTCTTGGGCGGAGGGAGGACTCTGTCCTCGCAGCCACACGGGCATCGTCTCAGACACTCAGCACAGGTCTAGACCGCCCAGCCAGGCCCGGGGCTACTCCGGGGGCTCTGACACGGAGCCCAGCTGGGGGGCCATGAAGGAGCCCACTCCTGGGTCACAAACAGGAAGGTCACTGCCCGGGGCGGGGGGGCGCTTGGGGCCGACGGCTCCCGGGGTTTGAACAAGTCCACCTGGAGCTCCGAGTGCTCAGCGCAGTCGCCGTGTGCTGTGCTCTCTGCAGATCCGGGACCCGAAGACCCTTCTCCCTGTGCCTGGGGTGATGGTGGGTGACATGGGGAGGAAGATCGGGCTGAACGGCCTGGACAACGGGTAAGTGCCCCACTCCGCCATCTCGCTTGGTCCTCAGGCCGAGGGCCCAGGGCTCAGCTTCATCCAGGGCTCAAGGCCGCACAGCCCCTCATGCCTGTGACCTCACAGGGATGCCCAGCACTGTCCCCACACCTTCCTACGGTCCTGTGGGGCTGGAGACACATGGTGGGGACACAGTCCTCCCCTCCGTACCCGAGAGCCATGGCATACAGGGCCCTGTCCTGCATCCGCCCAGTGCCGGGAGGTACGGAGGACCCCAGTGCAAACACGTGGCCTTGTCCTCGGGCCCAGGCAGGCAGCTGTGGCCGGGCGGGGCCTCAGCCCAGGGCCTGCCTCACACCCCCCCGCACCATGAGGTCCCCACCAGTGACCTGGAGCTGCGGCATCCAGCAGGCGCACCCACTGATGGAGGGGCGGGGCGGTGTAGGCTCTGGGGTCCGGAGGGTGACATATGTGGCGTGTGCAGGAGCGCCTGTTCCGAGCGCCCGGGATGAACTTTGGAGCCAGAATCTGGGTTCACATCCTGGGTCCACCTCGAGTTCTTCCTTGGCCCATTTCCTCATTGGTGATGTGGGCATAATGACAGTCCCCGAACCACACCCTTGTGGGTCCTGCCTGCACGTGGCAATATTGCTGGCTGGCCACTGAGCGCCTGCTGTCCCACGTGGCACACTGTCTCCCAGGAAGCCGGGCTGAGGGGCTCGCCCCTCAGATCCTGTGAGCTGGTTTGTGAGGGGCGGGGAGCAAAGCCAGGGCGCCCCTTGGCCCAGCAGGGTCTTGCCTACCTGTGTTGAGAGTGCTCACTCACCTGCTGCTCGGCAGCCAGGCAGAGCGCAGAGGAAGCCTGCTGTCGATGGCTTGGCCTCACTGGTTGTCCCAACCACGGTCATTTTGAGTATAAAGTAGGAGGCAGGCCAGCTTCAGAGAGAGAAGCCGGACCAGGTGGTCCCCTTGATGCCGAGCATGGAGGAACCTCTTTTCCCCTGTCTTTCCCCTGGGGTAGGGGTGCTGGGCACAGGGGGTACGTCTCTGGTGTCTGCTTGGACCCCCAGGCTGTGCCAAGGGGGCCGGGAGCCACTGACTTCACGCAGTCAGTTTGAGGGGGAAATGGCAGAAGCTGCTGCCCGCAAGAGCAGACACAGATGCTTCTGATTTGTGCTCACCCGGCGCCCGCGCCTCTGCTGCTGGCCCGAGCGAAGAGCCTGTTGATTGATGTCTCAGCCTGGTCAGCTGGGGGCTCCCTTGGACCACCACTCTGTGAGGGGCCCGGGACGGTTAGGCCGGTGGCCCTTCACCCTCAGCCGTCAGCCAGGTGGTGGCACAGCTCAGTGTGACTGAGATCACACTGGTCGTGGGCCTGAGGCATCAGGGGGACCGTGTAGGAAGTGGGGGTGTCCATGCTGCCTCGTCCTGGACTTTGAAAAGCAGCTCCCTGCCTTAGCTCCATGCCTTCCAGTTTGGGACTCAGAAAACACATGTGCTGGGACCCACGTTGTTGGGAGGGCCTGTGGGTACATGCGAGGCCTGGGCAGTGCAGCTGCGTGGGAACGGGCCGGTCGCATCCATGGGAAGGTGTCTCCGTTCAGTGGAAAGCCCTGCTCTCGGTTCCCGCTGACAGACGCAGGTTTCTAGAGGCCAAAGACTGTCTCTCAGAAGGTGCTGCCCCACACCTGAGACTGGCCCTGCCAGGGGCCGCACAGTGACCACCCAGGGGCTGTGAGGGCAGGTCCCCCAAATCACGGTGACACCGTGACCGTGGAGCCTCTCAGCTGATGAGACTGTGGGAGTTGGCTGGGCCGGTCCCCGGGCCTTCGAAGGTTCAGCGACTGGTCCCGGGTCCCAGCTCCCTCCCTCCGGCGGGTGCCATGCCCAGCAGAGGGCGCACTGGCCGTGAGGACAGGTGACCTGTGGGGTGTCACGCCTCCCGGCCCTCGGCTCTGCCCTCAGCATTGAGTCGAGTGGGTTTCTCTCTCTTTTTCTTTTGTCTGAGGTCACTTATCTTGAAAACATATGTCAGATTCTGTCATTTCACAACTTCTGAGGATGTGGGCTGACTGTAGAAATCAGAAGTGAGCGTGAGTTTTGTGGACACATTTAGGCGAATGGCTCTAAAAGCAGAAGACAGATGCTCTCAAGCGAGACTCTGGCCTGTGAACCTGCAGCTGCTGAGCTCGTGCCCAGGGCTCTGAGGGGAGGCGGGGCCTAGGCCTGGGGACTCCCTCCAGCGAGTGGCCGGAGGGCGTCCCCAAGGGGCTGGGTGCGCTTGCTCCCGGGAGGGAGGTGTGTCAGCGCCCGGGAGCAGGGTTGCTACCCTCGAGCTCCCGGCACACACGCCCTTGCCATGCCACCCCCATGCCACCGTCCCCCCCAACACACAGGCCCTGTGCCCCCGGGGCTGGCCCCCGCTGGCTGCCTCGTGGACAGAGTTCATCCCGTGTGCAGACGGGAAGGTGCGAGCCTGCCTTCAGAAGCACGTCTGTGCGTAGAATAAATGCTTAGGCGCGTTCAGCCTCGGCCCATGGCTGAGCGGCTAGAAAGGCAACAGTTTTCCTCTCTCAACCTAGGGCACCTGGCGTTGGCACAGTCACACTAGAAAAAGCCTTCCTCGCTTCTAGTGACCAGTGGGAGCCCCTGAAGCTGGCACTGCATCCGGGTGTTCTGTGGCCTGGGGGGCCTCACACAGCCAGTTGGAGCACCCCACAGAGGCCCCGGTGCCATGGCTCACCCCCAGGGAGGCCCCTGATGTGCGAGCCGGGCCTGCCACGGAGAGTGGGCAGTCCCCGCTGGAGTGCCCCCAGTGGTGTTCTGGGACCACCAGCTCCCACTGCAGGCCTGGAGGAGGGCACCTGGCTGGTTCGAGGGTCGCATGCAGACGCAGCCCACAGCAGGGAGCTGGCAGGCTGGGTTCCTCCAAGGGCCCACCGCATTTCGTGGGTTAGAGTCCCAGGCTGTAGGATTGAAGGTAGGTTTCGTGCAGGGTGGGATGTCCTGGTGGGCATTCCGGCAAGGGCCCTACGCACAGGACAGGCCAGAGGGCCGGGGCCTTCAGAGAGCTAAGGGGGCACTGCACTCCCGCCAGGGCTCTGGGTGGGGTGGAGGTGAGGAGGGGTCGGGCAGAGCAGACAGGTTCGAGGTGGGGGGGCTGCTGGCGCTCAGAGTGTGGTCTGCAGGTTGGTGAAGGGACAGTCCCTACGAGGGAGGTGCTCCTGGTGGCGGCCAGCCAGGGGACAGCAGGGACTGCAGGTGTCATCGGGGTGGGGTAGGTTTCTCTGCACCACTCAGGGAACGTCAGTGGCTGGCCTGCCACGTCCCTCGGTATGTGAGGCCTCCTGACCTGACAGCCACACACTCAGAGGCGGTCACAGCGAAGCACGCGTGGGGCCTTCCCTGCACTGCCTGGAGGCCGAGCATGGGGTTCGCCCGAGTCTCAGAGCCTCGCTCTGCTGCCTTGACCTCCTGGCCTGGGTTCTGGCAGGAGCCTCAGGTGTGAGAGCAGAGACCCCGTCTTGAAGAACGCAGCCCTCTCTTCTCTGCCCGACGGCTGCCGCCTCAGGGGCGGGCAGGGGGACCCGTGTCCCCGGGGAGTGGGCTCCGTTGTGGGAGCTCACCTAGTGACCTCAAGACTGGGCCCCGTAGACACCGGTGCCCAGTACGCTACTCCGCCCGGAACAGTGCAGCTGTTCTGTTTCAGGTGGACACCGCCACACGCTCCCCCGCCGGCTTTGTAAACCTGTTTTGGACAAAAAAGTGTGTTGGAATTTCCTGTCTCCAGGTGTTCTCTCTCCGGTCCTCGGGTTTCTGTCCCCTTGCCAGCTGTCCTTCACTTTCTTTGGGTGTCAGGAGCAGTGGCGGGGAGCCGGGCCAGCCGCTGTTTGACCCGAGGACCTGTGCATCCCCCACAGGTTTGCCATGTTCCACAAGGTCCGGATTCCTCGCCAGAACTTACTGAACCAGACTGGAGACGTCACCCCTGAGGGCACCTACGTCACCCACTTTAAGGTAAAGTGTCTCCAGGTGGGGAAGCTCCCCTGAGCCCACAGATGGGCCGCCGGAGCCAGACTGGCTGGTGGCAGGCCTTGCTAGGTCTGGGTTCCGCTGCTGGCACTGAGGAAGTGGGTGCTTGGGTCAGCCACACCCCCGGGGTCCCCAGTGTGGTCCCCAGTGTGCCCACAGAGGCTCGCTGACAGCTGCCTGTAGCCCTTGGGGTTGGTTAGGGAGCCACCCTGTGGTGCTGCGCCCCATGGAGTCCCCCAAAGGTGACAGGTTGCTGGGTCCACAGATGAGGGTGACAGAGTCCGGTGTCCGGTGCCCCCTGAGTGCATGGAGTGGCAGACACAGCAGTGTGGCCTCGGGCCTTCCCCAGACACAGGCACAGATGGTGTGTTGCCAGCGCCCACCCCCTCGGAGGCCCCGCCCAGACTGCAGGCCTGGTGTCAGGCATGGGCGCGGTGGGGAGCACGCCCGGAGATGAGAGAGATGGCAACGGGATGGGGCGTCTGACAAACGGGGACAGCCATCTGGAGATTAATCAACTGCACATTCACAGGAAAGTGAGCCATTGATGGGAAACATGGAGCAGAGGATCCTTTGGAGGCAGCCAGAGGGGACGGGGGGAGGGGGGAGCGGAGAAGAGAAAGTTTGGGGAACCAGGGACAGTCAATGTCTAAACTCGGGAAAAGAGGGCGACTCAGGAAAAGAAGGGGAGCAGCTGGGGGTGCGCACCAAGACGTAGGTGCTTCCAAGAGCCCTGAACCCCCCCGGGGCGCGGGGGGTTCTGACGCCAGTGGGGTGAGGCTCTGCAGCGGGACACAAAGGGCGAGGATTCCTGGAAGTGGCGTTTCAGGGCGCGTTTTCAAACCCAGCTGGACCGTCCCCTGTCTGCAAGAACTCAGACGTTCCAGCTCGCAGAGCTCGTGGAGGTTGCCATGCAGATACCGCAGGCGCCCGGTTTTGGAAGAAAAGCCGAAACTCAGGGAATGAGCCCAGGGGAAAGCGGGCGACTGGTCGGTTGGGAGAGTCCGGGCAGGGTGTACCCATGGCCACTGAGGGATGCACCGCTTGTGCTCCCAGCCTGTAGGCAAGGATTCGAACTGGGCGATGATCTGTTTTAGAAGGACAGACAGGACGCAGGTGAATGTCATCCTCCTTCACACGGTGTCATTTGGGGAGAGGGACCCAGGGGATGGGGGTCGAAGGGAGATCTCACAAATGCACCACGGGCTCCAGCAGCGGGCTGTGTGGGGCGCCCCACCTGTGCATCTGGTCTCGGGCAGGTTGACACCAGTGGCCTGGACCCCGGTGGGCAGCTTGTAGGCTCCCTCTGCCTGGGGTCCCTGTGGAGCTGAGTGTCCCCCAGTGCCTCCCACCATCTCATGATGGCTCACTCCTGGCACCTGTACCCCGGCCGCCAGGCCCTGCTGCACCTGGAGGTCTGTGTCGGGGGCCCCTAGGCGCAGGGCCCATGCCGAGGGTGGACACGCTCCCGTCTTCATGCCTCTCTCCCAGACATGGCCTCGGTGGTGGTGGAGGTCTGACTGATGCTCCTCACTGCTTTCTCCGCAGGACGACAGGCAGCGCTTTGGGGCGTCCCTGGGCAGCTTGTCTGCTAGCCGGGTCTGCATCGTGGGCATGTGCGTCACTAACCTGAAGCTGGCTGTGTGCATAGCCCTTCGCTTCTCTGCCACCCGGCGTCAGTTTGGACCCGCAGAGGGGGAGGAGATCCCCGTCCTCGAGTACCAGCTGCAGGTCGGACTCCCCGCAGGATGCCGCTTTCTTCCCACCGCACACAGGCCCACTTCCCCCCAGGCAGCAGCCGTCTGGCTCCTGCGAGCTGAGTGAACCTGCTCAGTGCTCTCCGTGACCTTTGATTTCCTGTCTCGCCATTTCCCCATTTCCCTTCTGAGCTCACGAAGCACCAAGCGTCCCCGGGCAGCACAACAGCTGGTTTGCCTAGTTCCCAGGTGGACTGGTACTTACCCTGCCTGTCTTCACTTCAGAGAAGCAGCAGGGAGAGCTGGGCGTGCAGGCTGCCTGTACTGTGCCTTTCAGCGGGGTTGGCCGGGGTGGGAGAGGGACTGGCCAAGTGTCGGGGACCTCTCTGGGAGGACCTTGCATGCCAAATGGGTGAGTGGGAGGTGATATCCCGTCGTCACACTGGACCCGGGCCCGTGCACTGCGCCCCCTTGCAATGCCGAGGCCCACATGAGATGGGTGCCCCCCCCACCCCCGCCCCACCATGAGCACTGCGGGGTATTCATGCCAGCGTCCTGTTCACTTCAGCAATGGCGCCTGCTGCCCTACCTGGCAGCCGCCTACGCCCTGGACCACTTCTCCAAGTCGCTTTTCCTGGACCTGATGCAGCTGCAGCAAGGCCTCCGCGGGGACGACCGCAGTTCCAGGCAGGTGAGGGCGGCCCCCTTTGTCTCTGCGTGTTTGTGGCGATTTAAGCCAAACTGGGCGCAGGCTCCCGCGTGCCCTCAGTGTGCCCCCCGCCCCAGAGCAGTGTCAGCGTGGGCGGCGTGTGCGCACATCCCCCTTCCACAAGGGAGGGCCAGTGCAGCTCTCGCTGGGAGGAGTACAGCGGGTTTTGGCGGCTTTGTCTTCAGAGAGCGCAAGGGTTTTGCAGCCCCTTGACCAGCCCCGCAGCAGATTTCATGGCCCTGGCACTCTCGTAAACAGCCCCGCCGGGTCCGAATCCAGCTGACAGGCCCGGAGCTGGACCAGCCCGGGGCCTGGGCCAGACACGGTGTGCTCACCCAGATCAGCCTTCCCACTTCCGGTGCAGAGGGTACAAAGTGACTTTCTCTGGCCACCCCACTGCCTCCTGGGCAGGTGTAAAAGGTGAACCACAAACAGCGCATGCGCAGACGGATGAGGAATGCCATGGGTTGGGGTCTGTGCAACAACCTGAAAGACCTTGCAGGGATGCCCTGCACCATCCTGCCGTGTCTGAGCCGTGATGGTGCCGGTGGCCAGCAGGGGGCGCGGCTGGGCCGAGTCCAGATCTGCAAGGGCACCCCCCCTTCCCCTCCCTCGGAAGGCAGGGGTTAAGCGTGTTTTTCCCTTAGCATGAGTCACCGCAGCTCCTGCCAGCTGACACAGGAACTGTTAATAATGTTATAAAGTGTAATCACGCTTTATTCCTTCTGAAACTGGTTTAACCCAGCTCTGAGAGACGTCAACGTTGCTTGCGTTTGAGGTGGAAAACACTTAGTAAGCAGGCCTGTGTGCCTCTCTCTCTCCGAATTGTTTTTATTAAACACCTCCTAGAAGCAAAGGATCTTTATAGGACGTGGAAGGCCCAGGGCCCCTGGCTGGGGCGCCCCGGCAGAGCTGACAGGGCCACTGCCTCGGCTGCAGCCGCCCGGCCCGGCTAGGCCTGCCTCCTCTGGCGTGGTGCCGACCCCTGCTCCTTACTGTCACATCCCTGCGCCATGTTTGTGTGCGCCCTGTACATGAGTCAGCGAGTCCCCGCAGGTAGCTTCTGCTGTCCGCCTTTTCCCTGGGACCCACCTGCAGGCGGGGCAGAGTGTGGTCTGTGTGCCCTCGTTCTGTGGGTCTGCTGCGTGGGCCGCAGCGAGCCTGTTCCTTGTCGGACCCTGCTTTCTCCTGGAGTCGCCGGGTGTGTGGGGTCCGACTTCAGGGCACGTGTGCCCAGTGGTGGAACTGACCTCTCCCTCTGCGCCTGGGGCCTCTTTTTACTTTTCTCCTTGGACTTCCTCTCCCAAGGTGGAGCTCGGACGCGAAATCCACGCTTTGGCGTCGGCCGGGAAGCCCCTGGCCTCGTGGACGGCCCAGCGGGGGATTCAGGAGTGCCGGGAGGCCTGCGGGGGACACGGCTACCTGGCCAGTAGGTTTTGGAGACACATGTGACGGTTTCCTATCCTGACCCTGCCACTTGGCCCCAGACCAGGCTGTGCCCCCACGGCCATGGGCACACCAGCTGTCCCCTGGTTTTCATGGACAAAGTTTCACTGGGACGCAGCCACGCCCACTTGCCTTCGCACTTTCTGTGCCGTGTTCACACTGTGTCTGTGGGGTGGAGTAGCCTTGGCCTGGCCCTTTCCACAGCACGCCTGCCACCCGCCGCCCGGCCAGGCTGCCTGGCGCTCCTGGAAACGTGGGGTCGGGACAGTGCCGGGTCCCAGCACTGAGCAGGAAGGTCTGAGGGAGCCAGTAAAAGCCAAGGCAGAAAGAGAGCAGCTCTTCACGGGGATTGTAACTTTCCGGCTAACGACTTGGCAGTAAACGGGCACCAAGTTTTGTTTTGATGAGTTAATAGGAAAAAGAGCTTCAGTTTGAGAGGCATTGGCTGCTTGGGCAGCGGGCTCTGCTGCCCTCTGGCCGCGTGGCAGTGGGCAGGCCCCTGGCCCCGCCGAGCCTCGGTGTTCGTATCTGTGCAGTGGGGGTGTGACTGAGGCCCACACGGGGATCCTGGAGGTGAGGAAGGGAGTGAATGCACGGGGAGCTCCGAGCACAGTGCTGGGCACGGGGGACATGCTTCCTCACCTGTATTTGCTGTCGTTATTTGAATCATTATTGTCATCATTGTTATTATTCAAAGCTTAAGTTCTAGGCTCCTGGGTCCGGACCTTCAGTAACCGCTGGGTAAAATGTTGGCTACTCTCAGGCCATGTGCACACGCCAAAGCCCAGAGCTGGCAGAACCCTCCCAGCAGTGCCTGCCCCCAGGAGCGTGGCGGGCCCGTGCTGAGTTTGAACGTCTTGGCAGTGGCCTGTGGACAGTCATGTCCTTCCAGGGAGGGTCTGTCCCGGCTACTTTTCGAGTAAGGTGGCCGGAAGGGCGGCCCTCGGCTCCCCAGGTCTCTGCCTCTTCCATCACGTGCTACCCGTGGGCAACTACAGCTCCGAGCTTCGTCCCCCACCAAGGGCTGTCTGTCGTCTGTTTGCTGTTAGAGCTCCCAGAGGCGCTATACATAATCTGTAACAAGGAGACTGAGTCCCGCCACCCTGCAGACAGCAGAACCCCTGTCCAGTGTCCTTACGCATAGTGTGCAACCGCTGGGCCCACACCAGGCAGCCCCCCGGGGAGGAGGGCCAGGCCCTTTCCCTGGGCTCAGTGTCGGCCGAGTGTCGTTTCTCCAACATTGCTCCCAGCGCCTCCCACTTGGTGGTCTAACTCTGGCAGGGCGCAGGGGGCCAGGAAACTCACCAGGGTGTCCCAGTGTGTGAGTCGGAGGCCCTCGAGTGCCCCTTCCCTGCTGGCCCCTCCCTCCCAGCCTCCCGCCGAGAGCATCCCCACCGGAGGGAGGTCCGGAAGGCCCGTCTTATAAAACGAGCAAAGGAACTGCGTTACTTCAGCAAAAGGAAAGTGAGAGTTTTGTCCAGATGCTTGGCCTTCCCTGCGTAAATGGAAGGGCTTGTTCGGTTACAGAAGGAGGTAGCCGGCTCCCCTGAGCGCCTGTCTCCGACGCCCACACTGCAGGCAGGTTCTGCCAGCTGACCTCTCCGGGGCAGGGTGCTTAGACCGGGCACTTCTGAGTGCTCCCTGATGACCAGCTGCGAGGCATGTCTCTCAGGGACACACCTGCCACATCCCTGCCAACACCCTTCCTGGGTGGTCCCGGGAGAGCCTGGTGGTGAGGGCTCCCCGCTCGGCAGGTGGGAGGTGGAGCAGGGTGGGAAGTGCTCCATCTCCAGCCACGCTGGGCCCAGGACTAATGTTTGCAGGCGGTGATGGTCGTTCTCAAGTGCGCGCCTGATATGATGGAACCATGTGGCTGTTTTGCAGTGAACCGTCTAGGTGACCTCAGAAATGAAAACGACCCAAACTGCACGTATGAAGGGGACAACAACGTTCTGCTACAGCAGACCAGCAACTACCTGCTCGGCCTGCTGGAACGTGGGGGCCCAGGTGAGCACTCCCTGCTCAGCCTGCTGGAACCTGGGGCCCAGGTGAGCACTCCCTGCTCGGCCTGCTGGAACCTGAGGCCCAGGTGAGCACTCCCTGCTCGGCCTGCTGGAACCTGGGGCCCAGGTGAGCACTCCCTGCTCGGCCTGCTGGAACATGGGGGCCCAGGTGAGCACTCCCTGCTCGGCCTGCTGGAACCTGAGGCCCAGGTGAGCACTCCCTGCTCGGCCTGCTGGAACCTGGGGCCCAGGTGAGCACTCCCTGCTCGGCCTGCTGGAACCTGGGGCCCAGGTGAGCACTCCCTGCTCGGCCTGCTGGAACCTGGGGCCCAGGTGAGCACTCCCTGCTCGGCCTGCTGGAACCTGGGGCCCAGGTGAGCACTCCCTGCTCGGCCTGCTGGAACCTGGGGCCCAGGTGAGCAACTACCTGCTCGGCCTGCTGGAACATGGGGGCCCAGGTGAGCACTCCCTGCTCGGCCTGCTGGAATGTGGGGGCCCAGGTGAGCACTGCCTGCTCGGCCTGCTGGTGCCAGGACCCAAGCGAGACTCCACTGAATTCTCGGCAGCCCCTGAGCTCACACAGGGCGTGGGTTCTTGGGCCCCCAGGGTTAGCCCGTCTCTCAAGCTGGACACTGTTCGTGGAAGGGAGGTGTTACTACATAGTGACCGTCCGACTTTTGCAGTCATTGCCGAGTGAGGGGGGGTCATGGTCCCGTTCCCTCTCCTCCACTCCCCTGGACACGCTCAGAGCTTGGAGTCCCCTGACTTTCCCCAGAGTGACTGGCATGTCCCTAGGTGGCACTCGCTGTGAGAGCCCACTGAAGAGCGTGAACTTTCTGGAAGCCTACCCCGCCATCCTCCGCCAGAGGTTCGAGGTGGCCAGCCTCCAGGACTGCCTGGACTCTGCAGGTAACCACGCCCCCCCACCTGTCCGGCAAGGGGGAGCTGTGCCCCTGTGCCCGGGACAGCCGGCAACGTGGCCTCGGAGGAGCCCTGGTTGTTGACTCGTCCCTCCGCATTCCCCAGCATCTCCCTGGCTTGGGGACAGCCACACACAAGCACATCGCGGGCCTGGTCAGAGAAGCAGGTGGTCTGTGAGCCTGCGGCCCCGCATGGGCTGGGCCGGCGGGGACAGGCTCCTGAGGAAGTGGCCTTGCAGCCAAGGTCTTGGTGGAAAGAAGGGGCAAGCGTCAGGGGACCCACAGGACAGGCATCCTTCCGGGGGTGGGAACGGCAAGGTGGTTCTGAGCAGAGAGAGAGGGTGGTGAGGGTTTCGGTTGTGTGTGGTGGTGACTCGGGTTAAAGCGCTGCCGTGGAGGAAAGGAGGCAGGCCGGGCCGAGAAGCCGGAGTGTCTCCTACCTAAAACCACCACCCGTCGTAAAACGGAAAGTGGACGGGGGCCGCCACTTGCTGGTGTGGCCGCCAGCCCGCTTGCGCCCGTCCCCACTGCCCTGTGCAAGGAGCCGTCCCTGTGGACCGGTGTCCCGGGGGGTGTTTGGGGGGCGCCAGGCGGCCTCATCTGTTTTTCCTCTGCGCGCCCAAATTTTTGCAAGATCTGGCAAAGTGAAAACACTTTCTGGAAGGGAAAAAATGCAGCTAAAGTGTACTTGGCGAAAGTGGCTTGGCACCGCCCCGCCGCCTGCCTTCTCCCTGGAGCGCGGAGAAGGCAGCGCAGCCCTCGGCCAGCGTCCCCCGGCCCCCACCTACTCTGGTCCCCAGGGCATTGGACCACCCAGCCCCACATCCCGGGCCAGCCTTCACCTCAGCCGGATCTTAGTCCCAGTTGCGTAAGAGATTTATGAGCTTGGAGTGGGAAGGACCGGAGCCGCGGGACCCATCCAGCTCCAAGAGAAGCCCGGGTGGCGGTGCCGGAGACTCTTCTGCAGGGCACAGAACCGTTCTTTGGGGGGGTGGGGCTGCGCCCAGGTCCTGCTCTGTGCACCGGCCCCTCTGTGGACAGGGCGAAGGGCTGCAGCTCTGTGGGCTGGCGCGTGCAGGGCCGGGAGCTCCGTGCTGCTGGCGGTGAGGTGCGCGTGGCCCGGGCACTTCTCTGTGCCTTAGTGTCCCTTGAGGGCCTGGCCCCCACTGCGCTCTCCTTGGGGGACTGCCGTGGGGGGGCACCTTACAGAAGGCTCTCTGGGGCAGCATGAGCCTGGCAGTGAACCCCGCCAGCCCCAGGGAGCCGGCTCGTGCACTGGTCCCGGAGGGTCAGAGGAATGCGTTTGGGTAGTAGGATCACAGGGCGGCGCCTGGCGAGTGGGCCCGGACGTGGGAGCAGGTGGCTCCCAGACCTGTGAGACCACCAAGGAGCCGCCCCCGGGTCGGGGCCCTGCTTTAGGAGGTGTGCGCAGGGCAAGCCTGACTCGGGAGGTCCGCCAGGAAACTGCAGCGCAGGGAGCAGGTGGGGTAGGGGGACAGGGGCTGGTGGCCAGGAGTGGCCTGTGTAACTCGGCACCTTTGGGTGCTCTGTTGTTGCCCGAGTACTGGGCACCTGTGGACGCTCCGCTGTCACTGTCTCCTCTGTGCCCCGTCCGCAGTCCCCCTGGCGGCGTACGAGTGGCTGGTCTGTTACCTGCTCCGAGAGAGTCAGCAGAAGCTAAACCAGGAGAGGAAATCGGGAAGCAGCGACTTTGCAGCACGGAGCCGCGCTCAGGTGCGTCTTTCCTCCGAAGGCTGCTGTGTGTTGTCTGTCTCGGTCCCCGCACCGCAGGGCTCCAACAGAGGCGGCCTCAGCCTTCCCACCCCGTGGCCTCGGGCCATTGCCTGACCTCTGTGCCTTGGCTCGCGGTGGGGACGGCGGCGCCCCCGCCCCGCTGGGTGTGGGAGAGATTACGGGTGCCTGGCAGGACCCGGCCCGTGGGCCTGAGCTGGGGTTCCTGCAGGTGGGCCCCTCGGCTGCAGGGACCTCAGACACATGGAGGGGCAGGGATGCCAGCCTGGGTCCTGCCCCACTTGGCCTGTGACGTCAGGGTCTGGTCCTTGGTGACCCGTGTGCCCCACACGTCTGCAGTGACGGTGTCATCCTCTCTCCTTGGTGTCGCTTTGCAAGGCTCCGCTGTCTCCTCCTGGCCCCTCCTCCTGCTCAGTGAGGGGCAGCCGCACCCTCGGGTGGCCACAGAGCCCGTGGCATCTGCAGGGACCCGCTGGGCACACCTGCCTTGGGTCGGGGGAAAGAGATGTGGCGTCAGGACGGGGTTTTGACTAGAAGGGCCTGGTCAAAGGCAACTGAACTGAGGTCGAACCTGTGGCTTAGGAGTGAGCTCAGCGGTGGCCAGGCTCTGTGACGCTGCAGGTCGGTGCCCTGGGGACCAAGACAGGAGGCAAGAGACGGTCCTCCTGGCAGGGGCCGGGGTCACCATGGGCTTCTGCACTCAGACATCGATGGCTGCGGGTTAGCTTGTCCCACGTCACTCCTTTCTCTGAGTGTCAGGTCGTCATTCTTAAAAGACGACCCCCTGGTTCCAAACCAAGACGCCACACAGATGGAGGGTGCAGGGCGCCCCCCACATCTGTATCCCTGAGAGGGCCTGGGAGGCCGCTGTCCACCTGTCCCAGCTGTCCCTCCCCCACCCCCTGCACCAGCCGGCCGTGCGGCACCTGGCTTGTTTACCCTGGTGATGGAACCCAAACTCTACGTTTGAGCGTGGCTCACTGTTAGACCCGTGTCAGGGAACGTGGCAACGATGTCTCAGTGGGGCGCGTGGTGGAGGACAGAGGGACCGTGGGGGAGTCGTGGAGCTGACCGGCCCGCACAAGGGGAGGTGCTGCCCCACGGAGTGGCCAAGGTTGTGGCCGGGGACGTGAAGCCTGGAAGGGGAGGCGAGGACCCCACCCCTGACCTGGTCACGGAGCATTTGAAGAGCATGCACTGGGCCGTTTCTGGTGCCGAGGGCACTCGGAGCCCTGGGTTGGGTGTTCGGGACCCTGGGACGCACCCCTTCCCACTGGGTGCCCGGCGGCAGCAGCCCACGGGAGCCATGCCGCCCATGGTGTGCGACCTCTGTGCGGTGGGAGGCAAGCCTTCGGGAGGAAGTCAGGAGACTCGGGAGCCGGGAAAGATGGGAACTGTCAGCCCCGACGGTGCGGATGCCTGCGGGTCTGAGCAGCAAACGGCACTGACAGCCGGGCACACTGCAGGCGGGTAGGTGCGCACACCGCAGGAGCCACAGAGCGTCCCTCGTGAGGAATCGGCCTCTGCCTGGCCCGAGGGCGCAGCCACAGGGTCTGACTGTGGCCCTGGCCAGGGGCGTGCAGGTTGACCGACCGTGCAGGTTGACCGACCGACCCGGACGTGCGGGTTCTCTCTTCACCTCACACTGCACTGTACTCTGGAGGTTCCTGTGGCAGTGAATTGGCTGCCATGGACTGACCCGGAGTTAGTGCTGTCCAGACGACTGCGGCCACCCGAGCGCTGCAATGGACAGCGCAGCCCCTGTGTTGGGAGAATGTACTGGGCTGTGAACGCAGCCCTCCTCCCTGATGGGGGGCGGGGCGGGGGGGGGCAGGTTACTAACTTGTCTGCCTGCTCCCTCCTGCCACCAGGCCAGCCAGACGGCCCAGTGGTTCTTTACAAAGAGTGCGTCCATGGCACTTTTTGGCTGGATGACACTGTCATGTGTTCAAAGAGAAATAGGAAAAGGGGCGGTGGGGTGTCCCCACCTTGAGTTCCAGCCTCGCCGCTCCTGCCCGGCGCCAGCCCACCCCGCGTCCACGTTGCACTGTCATTTCTGGTGGGCGAGGAGACCGGGCCAAGAGGAGTGCCCCAGCTCCCCCACTCGTCTGAGCCCACGGACCCCAGGATTGTGCAGCTGACCTCTGAGCTTGGACAGTTCGGAACTTAGTGCCTTAAGCGTCCCTCCCTTGTGGGGGGAGGGTCCCTCAGAAATCAGGGTGCAGCAGAAATGAATACCTGGGTGCCGTGGGCTTGTCACTTCCCTCCCAGAGGCTGGTGGCCTTTGTGGGTGGGGGAGCACTGGGACTAGTGTGGAGTGTGGGGACCTGGCAGGGTCGGGGTTCCCCCTACTTCAGACGTGGGTGGGGCCTTTGCTGTGTGTGCACGCCCCCTCCAAATACCAGCTCTGGGGGCTGCTGTGAAGTGACAGCGTGGCTGGCACGTCCGGAAGTCCGCAGCAGCCACTCACCTGCAGGGCGGTGGCCCCGTTGCGTGTCCCCAGGCCTACTGCTGCCGCCCCCTGGCCCTGGTGTTCCTGGAGCTCACCGTGGTGCGCAGGTTCCACGAGTACACGCACCAGCCTGGCGTGCCGCCCCCGCTGCAGGCCCTGCTGCGGCGGCTCAGCGCCCTCTACGGCCTGTGGTCCCTGAGCCAGCACACGGCCCTGCTCTACCGAGGTGAGGCCCTGCCGCGGGCCCCGAGGCTGCCTTTCCGCAGTGTGGGGTGACTCCTCCTGTGCCAGGGGCTGGGGCAGACGAGGGCCCGGGTGCCGCTGCGAGAGGGCGGGACGGCAGGGCAGCATCAGGATGGCGCCCACGGGGCTCAGACCGGAGCCCGGGTGGTGGGGGAGGTGCCCCAGGAATACCTGGGGACCAGGAGGGCTTCCTGGAGGAGGTCGTGCCTGGGGAGCTGGTAGAATGGCGTAGGCCTGAGTTCCTCAGCTCTTCCCTGTTACCGTCCCCTGCAGAGGCACTTCAGACATTTGTGCCTGACCGCCTCCCGGCAGGTTAGTGCCACTATTAGTCCGAGCACCTTTCTCATCCCGTGTGCGCCTGCACTGAGAACAGGGCGCCTCTGCCCCTCCCCCTCGCCAAGAGCCCGCGCTGTGCCCTCGGGATGCTGGCGCCCCGCAGCCTCTGCGGGGTGTGGGGTAGAGCACCCTGCTCTCCGAGAAACACTGACTCGAGTGACCACACCGGGTTTTTTATAGTGAAAGTCTGACCAGAGCAGCTCCCAACACACGTGTGGTCTGCGTGGGAGGCGGGGTGGAGGAGGAGGTCGCACTTCCTGTGTGCTGGCGGCTCCCGATGGCCCCTCCCAGCCCCTTGCTCCCCTCACACCCATCCCTCACACCCACCCAGTTGTCCCCCAGCGCCCCCTCTGGCAGGAGCCCAGCCCACCAGCCTCCCCTGGCCCCTCTGCCTTGGGCCAAACAGACCACCTGCCTCCCGTGGCCCCAGCTCCCGCCTGCGGCCTCCTCCTCTTTGGAGCTCAGGATGGCCGTGCGTTCCTGCTGTGGGGTCGCAGCTCAGCCGGGCGAGGGCAGCTGATTTGAAGAGCAGCTTTGGGGTGATCGGGAACTCGGGGAGGGTTTGGACTTGGGGTGACAGACACTGTGCTTGCAGGCGGCTACTGTTCCGGGGAGCGAGCCGGCAAGCTGATGGAGAGCGCCGTCCTGGAGCTGTGTGCGCAGGTGGGCTGTCCTCCCCGTGCAGCGTGAAGGGCCCCACGCGCCGTGACTGAGGCAGTGAGCGCGCTCACCTCTGCCTCCCGCTCGCCCCCGCGCTCGCGCCGTTACCACAGCAGACGAAGCCCACGGAGGCACTCGGGGGTCGGAGACCTCGGGACCAGGGCCGCCCTGGGGAGGGATGTCCCGGAGACGCCCTGGAGTGCGCGCCTGTCCGGCTCCAGTGCCCGTTCACAACACCCCAGGTCTCTCAGCCCCCAGTGTAGCCTTGTTCCACGTTCTTCGCTTTTTTAAAAAGATTTCTATTTATTTATCTTTAGAGGGGAAGGGGAGGAGAGAGGGAGAGAAATATCAATGTCTGGTTGCTCCTCATGTGTCTGTCCCCTGCTGGGAACTGGCCTGCGACCCAGGCATATGTCCTCACTGGGAATCGAACCGCTTTCCTTTGGTTCGCAGGCCCGTGCTCAATCCTCTGAGCTACACCAGCCAGGGCAGTTCTTCACTTTTAACTTAAGTTTTTCACCTTTGCCACCCAGAGAACTCCAGCGGCCCCAACCCCCACAGCGTCCTAGCAGTGCTCGGTCCAGTAGCACGTTCCATAGGGACGGAGGTGTCCTGGGCTGCCCGGGCCACCGGCCGCCACTGACAGGGGCACTGGCAGTGGCCGTGTGGCCAGAAGGCGGAGGAGTTTGATTTTCTTTAATTTTAATGAGTTTAAAGTGAGTGAGCTGCCTGTGCTTGTGGCCGCTGCCGCGGGCTGCTTGGCTGGTAGAGCGGAGTCCTCGTGGGGACCCCAGCGCGGGGTGGCTCCCTGCCTCTCAGTCCCCCGTTGGCACCCTCGGGGTTGGTGAGCTCGGGGACCCCTTGGCCAGTGGAAGCACCAGCGCCATCTCCCTGCTCTCGGTGAGGGTGCCGCTGGAGCACCCACTGTGCCCGCCCCCAGTCCAGCCAGTGACGGTGGCATCTTCCCCTGTGGAGAGGGCGGTGCACCGCCGTTCAGGGTCACAGCAGCCGTCCCCCGGGCTCTCCAGCGTGTCATGCCTGCCCTGGCCGAGGCCAGCGTGTGGTCACAGGTACAGTGACGGAGCCCGCCCCCGGCCGGTCCATGTTCATCGGTGGCCAGCAGGTGGGAGGAGTGTGGGCAGTGGGACCAGTGAGCATCTGGGCTGGGGGATGTGCCCTGCCCTGTGCGTTGTGGGTTTTGTTGCTCTGTGCTGACCGCTTGCTCTCACCAAAGGTGCCCCTGTCCCAGCCATGGCTTTCCAGGAGTATTGTAAGGGAAAAAACTGTCTTTGTATTTCACGGGAACTCTTGGGAGCCTTCACAGGCTCTGCACTGAAGACTCACTTGTGTAGCGGACAGGATGGGGGCGGGTAACACACAGCCGGGGGCGGGCGCCCACGGGTACCATCTTGTGACTCTCTGGAGAGCCCAGGGGACAGCTGCTGGGACTCTGAACAGCCCCTGAGGGTGAGTCAGCACCAGGCCCGGGCCAGCTAACTCGCTGCAGGGCATCACTTCACCAGCAGACCCCCCCTTGTTGACAACAGCAAAGCGTTGGGAGTCTTGAGTGGGTAGCAACATGGCGGAACCACTCAGACGCACCGAGGGCCCTCGAGCCAGGCTGGTGAGGGGACACTGCCCTGGCATCCAGCCGAGGGCCAGGGCCCCCGTTGCCAGTGGGTGGAGCAGCAAACTCTGGGGCTCTGCAGCTCTGTGGTAGCCATGGAGATGCAGGGCGTTGCCGAGCGTATGGACTTTGCTTTCTGACAGCTGAAGGACGATGCGGTGGCCCTGGTGGACGTGATTGCCCCTCCCGACTTCATCCTGGACTCCCCGATTGGCAGAGCTGATGGCGAGGTGAAGGCCCCCCCCGACTCCTGCCATTGCCCAGTGGGGCCGCTGGGGGCGGGTTGGTTATCGCAGAACCTGAGGGGTGGCCTGCGGGGAAGTTGTCCCCGTGGGGCAGCAGTGGAGGGGGCAGCAGGAGGTTTTGGGGTGACCTCCATCCACAGAGCCTTCCTCTGGGAAGTGGGGTGACACAGCTGTGATGCAGACCCTGGGCCCACAGCCGCCACTCCCTGCACACCTGCCCACGGCCCTTCCCGGCCTGCTCTCCCGGCTCCTGCCCCCTGTCCACCAGGCCACTCGCCCTGTGAGCCTGCACTCCCTGGTGGCCCCCATGTGGCTCCTTGATCCCTTCTCTTGCCCGCCCCCCAGAGTGGCTTCTTACTAAGCAGATGGCGTCAGGCCAGCCCTGAGACCCAGCCCTCTACCCGTGTCCCCTGGACCTGAAATTGCCCCAGCCCGCATGCCGGCTCTCCAGGGTCGTGATGCTCCTCTGCCCTCCAGCCTCTGTGCCCCACCCCCACCGCTGCCTGGAGCACCTTCGTTCATTGGTTTTCCGTTCCAGGCAAAGGCCGCCTCTCCCGGGAGGTCTTCTCTGGCCCCTGGAGACAGCCCCGGGCTCGTGCTCCCTCTGTCTGCTGCAGGCCCCTCGAAGGGCTTGTTGCCGAGCTCACATATTCCTACTGACTTTCCCTGTCACCCGGGGATGCCAGTGCTGGTGGGTTTGCTCGGCGCCTCCCGTCACAGCACTGCCTGCAGGGGTCGTCCCCGTGTCGCAGCGGGGACGTACCCGAGGCCTCACAGCCGCCAGTGGCGGGACGGGATTGACTCCCTCCACCCCGACCCCCAAGGCCATGCCCTTTCTGCCGAGACACCTGCTGCCGGCCCAGGCGCTGCGTGGGGGTGACTGTGAGGGGCGGGCATCCTCCACCCACCCTCAGGGGCCCTGAGATGTCCTGTAGTGGTCACTTTACGCAGCTGTGATGGATGTACCCGGGCGGGTGTCCTGACCTCCACACACCCCAGGCCACACTCAGGTGCTGGGTGCTGCCTGGGGAGGGCAGAAGAGTCCCTATCGATTTGGTGCACGTTCCGTGCCAGTGTTGAGGTCGGAGGGAGCCCAGCCAGTGAGCGGCAGAGCCGGGGTCTGGGTGGAGCTCTGTCTGGAGAGGAGACCCGAGAGCGCCCCTCGGTCCCCTGGTGTAGTTGGGGCTACAGAGGGGGAGGCTGTGCTCAGCCCCAGGGAGAGGGGACGGCCTTGGGCGAGGGGGCTTAGCAGGCCACCAGGTTAGAAGAGGTGGGAGTGACCTGTCCCCAAGGGCCTGGGAATGGTGTCTTCTGAGAGGCCCTGAGCCCACGGCAGTGTCTGCTTGGGAGGAGGGGCCTGCAGCCTCGGAGCAGGGGCAGGAGGGCGGTGGAGGGCTGGCCCCAGGGTGGGGGCCTTGCCCGACAGCACAGTCTGCACCGCGTGCCTCCCCATTTCAGGGACTGTGGTTTGACCGGGTGCTGCTGTGCCAGAGGCTGGTTTGAAACGAGCAAACCAGCTGTGGGAGGTGGCTGGGGGCCTCTGTAACTGAAACAGTGCCCCCCACTGCCTCCCCCACGTGGGAAAAGCCCCAGTCAGGGCCTCTCTGGGCCGAGAACAGCAGTGGTCCGGGGCAGACTTCCCTAAGCGAGTTCAGCAGGTGCAGGGAGACTGGGTTCTTCCAAGTAAAATGAGTCGGCCTGAGCCAGACACTGAGTAGGCCCCTTCCCTGCCCCCTGGACAGTGGGGGCTTGTCTGCACCCCAGGCCCACAGCCTGGGCGCTCGCTGTGCTGGGAGCCTTACAGGGGCTCTGCCTATGTGCCCCTGGCCGGCGGAAGAGCTGTGCTTGCTACCAGGTGTGTGTGCTTCTCCCCCGCAGCTCTACAGAAACCTCTGGGCCGCCGTCCTGCAGGGGAGCGGTGCACTGGAGCGGGCCTCGTGGTGGCCGGAGTTCGCCAGCAAGCCCGTGGTGGGGAGTTTGAGGTCCCAGCTGTAGCCGCCCCGCCCACGTTCTGCTCAGTCCGGTGAAGCCAATGAGGACGAGGATTTCAAATTCCGGTTCTGCGGTCCAGGCAGCCGCCAGCCTTCTTATCAGGAGCGCGCCTCAGTACGTCACCTAACCTGCTAGTGGCCGATCCCCAAGCGGGCCTGGCCCGTCCTCTGCGTCTCATCGGGACGGGCAGCCCCGGGGTTCAGGCTGCTCTGCTGTGTGCACCAAACACGCCTGCGATGGCACCTTCCGGAGGGAATGTCCACGTTGGACAAGCAGAACCTGGCACTTTCTGTTTCTACACACGAGAAGCGAGCTCAGCCTCGCCAGCACCGGTGCTGCGGTTGATTCTTCACCCGAGCGACTTCACCATGTAACCATTTCTCCCGGAACTTTCCCGTTGGGCACTGTGGGCCATTCGAATGGCATTGTTTCAGAAATTTAAGGAAAAGAAAATCAGGTTTATTGCTTTCTTGGGTGGAACTGGAAGTTTCCACCAAGGAAATATTTCCAAAGAAAAAAAATTATGATTTGAACTTCTGGTCCATTTAACGTCCTGACCCCCAGGGTGCGGGCGCCTTCTGTGAATGGGTTGGTTCCCACGGTTGGTGGGTCCTGCGGCTGCCCCGCCCCATGGCGCATGCGCTCGGCCATCCCTTCGGGCGCCAGTGCCCTTGGCGCTGCCCAGGTCTGCCAGGGCCTGCCCGACCCTCGAGGCCAGACTGACGTGGCTGGTGAGCGCTTGCTCTCCCCTCTCGTTTTCAGGGTCAGGGTGGCGGCCGGTGGCGGGTTCTCGCTCTCGGCCAGTCTGCGTTTCCCTGTGGGCATGGGTGTGTGCTCCTCCGCCTCGGGCCCACCCAGGGGGTGCAGAGTGTTGTCACTAGCAGCCCCAGGGTCCCCTGACCTCTGTCCCATTGGAGCCCGGCAGGCAATGTGCCCCAGGTGCCCACGTGGTGCAAAGGCAGTCTGGACGCGTCCTTATTTTCCAAAATAGCCAGGAGCGCCGGCGAGCCCCTGAGTGGTGCGGACCAGACCTGGCTTCCAACCCCAGGAGTTGCGCTCGACTTCTGGAACCTCAGTTTTCATGCTTTGAAAAAGGGCGCCTGCGCCCCAACCCCAGCTGCAGGGAGCCTCGGAGGGACTGCTTTTAATGAGCACGTGGTTCGTGCAGAAACTTGCTCTCCAGCTGGTTGGGCTCTCCAACAACCGAGTGAGGGGAGCGGTGCTGCCCTCGGTCTGTCGTGTGAGGGCCCCGACCCTCAAAGGCTAACCTCCTGTCCGGGGCCAGCAGCCAGCAGCCGAACCTTAGCCCCGCCCCCCGCACACCTGGGAGCCAGCAGTCAGCTCGGGGCTGCGCCTGCGCCGTCAGTGCTAACTGGGGAGCAATCTGCCCACATTCAGTGCGTGCCTGGCTGGGCGGTTTCCGTGGTTTTAAGTAAACTTTCCTGATGTTAGGGATGTTTTGTGCATTATAACCCACAGCGCCCGCTCTCAGGGAGATGGGAAAAGCAGGCAGTGTTCCCGCCCTCAGCGGTTCAGACCGGCCAGGCCTGCGGGCGTACCCAAACCGCGTCGGAGAGCCCTCGGACGCCCTGGGGGCTTGCTCCTCGGGGTCCCCAGGGCCCAGCCACCCAGCCTGAGCCCCAGCCCAAGACGGCAGGTGGGCCTGCCGCCTGGGGTCACACTGGTTCCTTGCAGGTGTCCCTTGTAGGATGGGAATGCCACAGCCCGGCCACTTTACCTGGACCCTGAGGCCTTTCTCAGCAGTGACAGCCTAGCTGGTGCAGCCCCCCACCCCTGGCCCCTGGTATTGGGGGGCCCTCATTTACTGGGGGGCCCCCCACTTCCCTAACCAATGGCCTTCGTGTGGACGTGGACCTGGATGTAGTGTTGACAGGAGACTCGCTTCCTACCTGGTGCCCGTATTCCAGAAGGAACTGTGACATGACACCTTTACCACAGTGGGGCCCTGACTTCCTCAGTAGCACTGACTGGTCTCCGGTCACTCCTCCCCTGGGCCTGGAGGGTCAGTGAGGTCAGGCCAGAGTCCCTTCTGTGCTCCCAACTCCCGGGACAAGGCCACACATGGGTGCTTGGCGAGCACTGGAGAGAGGCATGGAGGGTGGGGGGCGGGTAGTGGAGGGATGGTGGATGGTGGGGGATGGATGGATGGATGGATGGATGGTGGAGGGATGGTGGGTGGATGGATGGTGGGTGGATGGTGGGTGGATGGTTGGGTGGATGAGCGTGTGGGTGAATGGGTGGAGTGACTGTTAGGAACACAAAGCAGGAGGAAGTGTGGCCATCAGTAGGCGGTCCCCAGGGTGCGATCACCTGTCTTTGAGCAGGTGAGCTCCTAGGGTGCACAAGGAGCCCAGGTTTAGAACGAGGCAGACAGATCCTGGGGAGGACAGGTCATTCCAGGAGGGTGCTCTGCCCCCAAAGTGCACCAGGGGACGGGAGACCTGCAGGTCTGGCTGTTCCGCCGCAGGACTCCTGCTTCTCTACCCCCCTCAGCTTCCCATCTGCAGCCCGGATTGCGAGGATGCTGAACAGAGGTGCGCTCTGTGTGTGGCCACCCCCACGCTCCCCACAGGGTATTCCACCCCGCCCGGCTGGCCCACGGGGGCATAGGCCACTGAGTCTGCTTTGCTCAGAAAGCTGTGACACCCACCAGTCCGGGAAGGGGACACAGAGCCCTTTAGGGGGACAGGAGGGACTCAGGCACAAGCATCCAGTGCCTGCCCCATCGTGGGCGTCCGGTCCGTGTTGGCGGGCCGTCTCCCCGCAGCCTGTCCAGAGCACTGCCTCCTCCCAGATGCAGGACGACTTGTCCCTAACGCCGAGCTCTAGGCTTGTGCAGCACTGACCTGTGCAGTCACCACCGCTCCAGGTCGCAGCCCGACCTGGAGTCACCCACACCTGTGTCTCTGGGCCCCACCCCCAGGGCGGGAGCGGAGAGGCTGCAGCCCGGTCCCCTATTGTGGCCGCAGCAGTCAACAAGGGCCCTCTACCCGCCACACCTGGGCAGGAGGGGTGAGCAGGTGCCTGGGGACGGGCTTTCTGGGGAAGCTTTGAGAAAGCAATGCACTCATCCGGCCCCACCTGCCAGCCTGTCCCGACCACCCCTGGCTGGAAAGCCAGCCATGGAAACAGCAGGTGCCTGGAGCGGCTCTCCCAGTTCCAGGCCGCCGGGTCACCCTCTGCCCTGTCCATAGCTGTGGTTGGGTCCCAAGGAGCCTTGGCTCCTTCCTTGACCCCCTCCCCAGGGAAGGGCACATCCTTGGGACCCCAGCCAGACACCCAGGTGTCACCACCGGCCCTGGAACACGGTCCTGCTGAAGATGCGGGTGCCCCTCTTGTGGGGGCCCTGCCCCCTGAGCCAGCACCTGTCACACCTGCCTGGTGGGCTTGACCCCTTCACGTGCTGGTCTCTTTGGACCTCCCCATGGCCCCTGCCCTCCCAGCCCAGTCACACCCTCAAGCCTCGGACTGGACCCTCTCCAGACATCCTGCTGCCTCCACCGCCAAGGCCCCCACGTGGCCCCTTCTCACTCTGCTCTAACAGAGGCACCAGCAGCCCTGAGCCCTGCCCTTGTGGGGGGAGGGCGCTGTCCCATCGGAGCCCTTCCCAGGCTGTCATCTCACCCTCAGGCTTGCAGGCGGGCACCCTGCCCCGAACCCCACTGCCTCTCCCCTTTCCAGCTGGACCCCGATGTGCAGGAGGGGAAAGAAAGTGCATGCTGGCGCCAGAGTCCCTGGCCCCTCCAGGGCTTAGGCAAGTGATGCAACATGCAGTGCCTCAGTTTCCTCATCTGTAAAATGGGACAGCGCCACCCACAGTGTAGGGTTCCCATCAGCTGTGCAGTGAGGCCTGCCTGCTGCTGCTGCCACTGTGGCAAGGGGTCCCAGCGAGGAGGGTGGGGCTGCCTGGGCCTCTGGGAGCACAGAGATTGGGCCCCACGCGCCTGGAGACACTCAGGGAGGCCCACCGTGCTGGGTGCCCAAGAGCAAGGAGGGAGACACACTGTGAGGGCCGCCGGCCTGAGGCCCTCGACCTTCAGGGCGTGACTTCCTAGGGACCCAAGGGAAGGCACAGGTGGTGCCGCCAGAGCCCAAGGCCTGAGGGGGCAGAGCCGTGACCCTGCTGCTGCCCCCGGATGGGCAGTGCAATGCAGCCCTGCCAGCGTGTGGGACCGCGGCAGCCAGCCCACGGGAGGGCGCTGTTGGGGGTCCTGGCCCCGAGTTTGGAAAGCGGGCCTGTTGCATCAGCAGTTTTTTGAAAACATCTATTCTCTCTTGGCCCTGCGGCTGTTTTTCCTTAAAAAGAAAAACACAAACCAAAACCAAAACACGAAGCGGATTTCGGAGTCGTGCGCACCAGGCCGCTGTCGGACACACGAACACGAACTGCCGCACTGGACAGCCTCTGTGAGACCAGTCCCAGCCCTCCCCAGCTGGACCGAGCTGTGCGAAGGGCCACACACCATCCTGCCATAATCCCGCCGGCCCTCCGAGGACATGGGGGCAGCTGGGGCTCCTGCTCAGCGCCTTCGCACAGGCCGTTCCCTCCGCCTCCAACACCGTTCCCCTCACTGTCCTCCCAGCAGCTCCTTTCCTGGGGGCTGTTCCCAGACCAACCCCAACTCCTTGCCTCCAGCCCAGCTCTGTGACCCCGATTTTGTCCCATGGACTAGCTCATTTGCGATGTGTCTGGGCCACGGCTCTGTGGCTCTCTGGGGCTCTAGAGCCTTGCACATGTGTGACAAGTGTCCAGTTAGCAGTTGCCGGGTGAAGGCCTTAATGGACTGGCTGCCTGGGGCACAGTGACGAGTGTCCAGGGCCCCGGGCCTCGGCTAATGCTCCTTAAAGTCTGAGTCCCAATTAGCGGGAGGGTGAGGCCCTCAATAAACCCCTAAGGGGACTCCCTGACTTGCAGCAACCCAAATGTGCTCAGCCAGGAGACTGACCGAGCCGCTCCTCCTCCAGGGAAACCCTCCTGAGCCCTGAGGCTGGCACCCCCTCACTCCTGCTTCCCCTCCGGCCGGTCCCGGCCCTGCCCCTGGGCTCTCTGGTCTGTTTCCAGTAAGTGAATCAGCATGTGGTCCCTCAATCCTCCTGTGCTCTTGACACTCCAGCCCTGCTCCGGGCGCTCTCCTGGGGTGGGGAAGCTCCCACGGCGCTGGCCTCCCTGTGTGGGGAGAGGATTACTCCTGGGAAGCAGGGGACGGGGACAGAGCCCCTTGCGGTGCCACGCAGTAGGGCTGGGCGGGGCTGGGCCCAGGGCGGCTGGGTCTGAGGCAGGGAGACAGACAGCAGCACCTGCAAGGCCCTGGCAGCCGACAGTGGGTCTGAGCATCCCAGGTGGTAAGAAGGTTCTAGATCTGCTAGAAGGAGGGGCCATGCACATCCAGGACTGGCTGGTGGTTTGCACGTGGCACTCGGGAGAAAGGAGGTACGGCTGTCACCCTACAGGGGCCGCTGCGACGACAGGGTCCTGGGCCCAGAGACCTAGGCGCCGGTAGGTTGGACTTGG